ACCTTTATGCTAAACCAAAATATGGACGTTTTGAAAAGGGATTTTGGTTCTTCAGAAGGATGTCTCCGAACTTTTAGGTTTCACAAGTTTCATTGGGCCTTCGGTCTTGGTCAGAACTAGGCTAATTTGAGAAGGAAAACCTTCGTACAAAACCATATGAATATGAATGTTTTATTAGATAAGGGGATTTTGGGGCCTCAGACTCGTCAGAAATGCGTTGTCCGGGCTTCTAGGTTTCATAATTTTATTGGGGAACCCATTACAACCTCCTCCCCCCCCCCCATACTTCTCGCCCGTGAACCATCTACAGACTTTCACAAAATTCGAGCTCCAGCACAAATTCACTCCTGCCAACGTTGGGAACATCACATCATTTAACCATTTGCCCGGGTGTAGCGATCCCGCTAAAGTTTTATGTTGTTCAAGCGATATTTTTGATAATTTTTATCATGTTTGCTTACTCTTATTATTTCCCATGAGAGACATTGTAATCTATGTAATGAAATCGAAATACATTTGAGTGTAATATTAAAACTTTAATCAGATTAGACAGTTTAGTAACGATGATCATTTAGTGAGAAGATAATTAGCTAATACGTTATTAACAACAAACCTCAGGCTTTATAAACCAGATCAAGAAAGCAGTTTTTAATCATAACCCTAGGCTACAGACCGAATTAAGTCAAGCTATCGATCCTTGGTTTTGACTAGTAATAAGCCATATGTCATACTGAGATATCATTCTTAATATCAACTTAAATACATCCGGTGTCATAAGGTCAATGAAGGCAAACCCGTCGAGTCATAATTTGTCACAGAATATTTGCTATAAATATATTAAATTCAACCCGAAAATTCTCTGTTTTCCTCGAGGCATGCCATTAGCTTAAGGGCGTGACAATTTCCTAACATAGTCACGTGTCACGATAGCAATTTAATAGGTTTTAACCAATCACAACACGTGATGGCAGTGACGTCTCATCTGTCGCAGAAATATGTTGCACTCTATACAAAATGCCCTTTGGAATGATGAAGATTTTTTTTTGTTCCACCACCGCTGACATTTTGCAGGTTTCGCAAACAGAAGATCAATAAGATGTAAGAGAGAGATAGAGCACATTATAATATGCCCTATTCATCATTTGCTTCTAGCTCATTATTTCATACCTTACGATATTCAGATCTTTGTGTTCTTTAAACAGGCAACAACTCGTAATTATACTTTTATATAGAATAAGGTAATAATATTACAAAATTTTTTGTTTTGTTAAAATTGTCAAAAATATTTTATTAATCTGGAAATTCAAATATTTGTAATCTCTGATATTCACAGAAATAGAGTATAATATATTTATTTTTATGAAGACTTTGTTACTTTTACCAAGCTTTCGGATATTCTAATGTTATCCGACATTGGTGCAAGGAAACAATATTTATTATTTGTCTCTTACATAAAAGTAAGACTTGGAATATTTTGCTTACAACTACATGTCATATAAAGTTTGTAACTATTACCACCAGTCTACTTTATTGTAATTGTATAATATTGCCATAAAATGATTTGGAATCATATATGAAAAGGATTTTCGGTCATACTTTCAATCAAATTGTTTTAGAATATTTTAATCTTCTTTTTTCTAATTATGATGAAAATAAATTGTTTATCGTTTTTGTTTTCAAAATTATCATTGATGTTTTCTTGTTTGATTTTAATTTCGTTTTCTGAATTACAACGCAAGATTATATATTTTACTTGCGTGTTTTTAGAATAATCATTTTCTTTCAAAGATGACTTAATATGATAAACAAAATCGTGATAAAAAATACGAAACTTTATATTTATCATAATTTATATATTTTTAATTTCTAATTTAATTCTTTGTACTTTGCATTTAATATTTTTTTGCGAATTATCCTCTATGTTAACGGGATATGCATAGCAAAAACAGAAAACAAAATGGTAATTCTGAAAATAAGAATGACAATTAGATAAAATTGCATCATGATTCCAAAAAAGAAAGTCGAAATCTTAAATCATAATTTTAAAAAATGTTAAATAGAAAGCAAATATTCATAAAACATAACAGAGGATTCATAAAACAATCCAGGAAACATACATAATAAATAGTAAACCTAATCGACATTTAAAAGAATTAAATAGGCCTAAGATTGTGTTATGTAATTATCTACAATATTGGGTCCTTCCTAGTTTTCTGCTCCAGTTTGGACGTTTTTGTTGTTTCATCGTGATCATGACAGTGAAATAATAATGTGTAAATTATTAACAAGTTTATTTCTCACGCCTTATTGACTGTAATAATACCAAGTAGTATCGTTTACATTTTCATTCTAAATCTGACATATTTATTGACTTTAACGCTCACTTTCACCCACGTGGTCGGTGACGACGTCATGTTGACAGGTAGGAAACCGGATGACCACTTGATGACCATTTGATTGACATATGACACACATCACGTGTTTTTATTTACTTCCAGGTAAATAACCACTGGCTACTGGACTTCCACAGAAAATTCTTATTCATGGCTATACTTTTTTAGAAACTAAAATCATTCTTTTTCTGCAACTGACAAGAAATATTCTTCAAAACTCAAAATATAATCGATTCTTTTTTAACATTTCAAATCCTACGAACTCAATTATAACACATCAATATTTAAATAAATTGATGTAACTTCAGTAACAATTAATATGGTCTCTAATGTCATGATAATTCCAGTTATAGTGGGAAATAGTGGGAACAACTTTTGCTGTAAAATAAACAATACGTATATGTACTATAATCATCACATTTATAATATACACCAATTAAAAAGGCACAATATCTGATTGAAACGTACAATAATTTACACATAAATGTAATTACATATGATCAAGCATAATGAAGCACTTAATATTCTATAAACCGAAACATCTGCCTTTGTACCAGCCTTTCAGAGCTATTTAGAAAGATGTCGGCTGGTGCAGAGACTAAAAAAACTAGGCTCTGTGAATTCTTTAACATATTGATTTAAATCGGATCGGTCAAATTCAAACACAGCCGAGCCTCGTTTATCTGCACATAATTGTTCGGAAATATGGATACTTTTCAGTCACCATAATACCACTACACCATATTTGTTACCTCTGCGGTTCCCTACACTCTTTCTTTTAACGAAACTGATCTCTTGTCGGCCATTTGAAGCTAAAAGTTCAAGGCTCACAAAGTCACGTGATACTAACAAAACAAAATTTACGATGATACCTAACAATAATTTACAGTCATCGTATAGGTGATTTGATATTATGTTAGAAAAAACGCATTTCAGAGTCGTGGAAAATACCCATACCTTGTTTTACTGACTCTATTATTGACAACTATCGATAACTGTCAAAATATCTATCAGAGGCTGGAATAGAGCAGATGTTTCGGACTATTGATATACATGCACCTTAAAAACCAAGGCATGGAATATCTTTGTCAGTTCAGCAACCTAATTGTAAATAGCCATTTATTTCTCAATGTAACTTGACCATTGGAAGTGATATTTACATATTGTATAATTTCATTTTATTCAAATATAAACTATGAAAATAAAAACAACATATATCTTAAAATAACAAAAATTTACGTCACGCCAAATTGGTCTATCTTGAATTATTAATTATTTCAGTTTCCATCCATGATCTCAATTCAAATTTTTATAGAAGACACAATAGGCCTATCAATAGAGAATGGATCATGTAGTCGACTTGGAGATGTTGTATTTTCTATCCACAGTTTTATGTTGAAATCTTTTATTATTCTATTCAGTTATTATTGGCATGTACTCTCATGTGTCTATTCAGATTACCAGATTGTGAAAACCTCAGAAGACAGAGTTTACATTGATATGGTTTCTCTCCACTGTGAATTCTCAGGTGTTTTGTAAGTGTTGAACTATCTGAAAAGGCCTTTTTACACAATCTGCATCTGTATGGTCGTTCTCCAGAATGTGTTCTCATATGTGTTGTCACTGACGAACTTTGAGAGAATCTTCTTTCACAAACTGGGCATCGAAATGGTTTTTCACCGCTGAAAACCAAATAGATAACTATTATGTACTAGCATTACGTTCGTAATCCAGAATTATGAATTAAATGTAAATCTATGAGTTTTACAAAATTATATATATAGATGTCTAGACAGTATAAAGTCATATTTACTTAGACGTAATATATTGTATAAGGACTATATGAGTTCAATCTGATTAAAATTCTGAAGTGAATTTCGTTTCATGTGATAATAGCGTTAAAGGGACATTCCGGTTTTTTTTTGTAGGTCGAAAATTTGTTTTGCTCAAATTAGTGAAAACTATAACCCAATATCGACAGAAGTGAATCGTATCTGAGAGTTTTAACTAAATGAATCCAACCGATAATTTTTAAACGCCAAATATAAAAAAAAAATTAAGGTTTCTAAGTTCGTTATGCTTTATGGAAGCTGTTAGAAAACTACTGTTCGGATTTGAGTAAAATAAACGCCAATTGTAGATAAATTTGTCTCCTATTCGTATTCTAAAGATTTTAACTAATGATATCGTACTATTATAAAGCCAAACAGCAAAACAAGGTCAAACTGCTTAATTCACAATTAGTACTTTCAGTTTGGTCAAGAAATTACAAAGATATAAATGGCATGCTTTAGAAATATTTTCCGGTATGATTTACGAAGCTTTTGATAATGAAAACTTTTTACAAAAAAGCGGAGCACCCCTTTAAATCAAAAACACTAGACTGACAATTACAAGTCAATAAACATCCACGAATTCCTAAAAGTCATGTTATCAGGGCATTTAATTGGATGAATTATTTAATAACCTGGAACGCTTTTTGTATAACTATTTCGTCAGATCATGAGAGGCAAGTTGGAGACACCTACAGAAATACGACATTATATTTGAACAATTTAAAAAAGAGGTTAAATACTGATAAAAATTCAACAAATCTAAGTAAAAAGATCATAGCGAACTATGTGTGTGTCGTGCATAATGCATTGTAATTAGATATGTAACATTATCATTATGCCTTATTATGACAAATTATTAATGAGGACAATTCTCCTCTGAATATGAATATGATTTAAGTACAGTGGCATCCTCTGGTACTTACCTATGTGTTCTGGTATGAGCTGTTAGATTAGCGGCTTGAGAAAATGATTTACTACAAATGTGACATTTATAAGGCTTTTCTCCAGAATGGGTACGGAGATGAGTCTTCAGAGTACTAGGTCTTGCGTATGTTTTCCCGCAAATTCTACAGAAGTTTGTCTTCATCGTACATGCTGTGAAATTGATAATATATATTTAAATGTGTATAGGCCTTAATGAACAAGGATTCTTATAATCGTCCTAAAAGAACTTTCCGACAGGTGTGCCAATTTTTGACCAAGCGTACCTTTACAAATATTCAAGACTCAAATCAAGCCCCAAAATGGCGAATCTGTACCTTTTAGGTTATATTTGTTTCCAAAATTTTCTGGCCACAATTTATGTTTGCACGAAAATTAATTTGGGTAAAATGTTACAAGTTAAAATGGTAGAATGGTGAAAATAAATATTGGCATAGCAGCCAATTTTCATAATTTTCGGATTTTCTCAATTCTTGAAAGGTATTTAATTGAAGAAAATGGAAAAAGTCACAAAATAAAAATTCTCACCTTCATTAAAGGATGTGGCACTATTTCTTTCCGACAGGAATTTACTTTTCTTAAAATGACCAGAAGCACAAAACCTTGCTACATCTTTCAATCCTTCAGCCTTGTAATAAAATCCTCTGCTTTCTGGTACATGCGTCCGTAATTCTGGGGTAAAACTATAAGAACCTTGGAAAGGATGTGTTTGAGATCCATAACCTGTGTATTGTGCCTGCAAAGCAGGGGCATGACCACCATGGTACTGAGATAAGGTAGGAGATTGTGGTTGATTTCCCCATTGCTGTTGTAAGTTGTTATATTGTCCATTACCTAGTCCAGGTGGTACACCAACATTCATACTCATTGAAACATTGACACTCATTGATGGAAAATGTACATTAGGAGTTGGTGGTTGAGTTGGAGATAATTGTCCTAAAAATAAAAGATCTTCATTTCAAAAAGATTTCGAGGCAGTGTATAAGTCATATACATGTATTACCAACCCGGGTGACTATTACTCTAAACTTTTAGTTTTATTTGTGTGAGTTCCTTCATTTAATCTGAAGAATACGGATCTGATGAAGGTCTTCTTGAAAGTACACTGTCGATGACCAAACCGTTGTAAATAGATTCAGGAATAAGTATAAAACTAATCTAATCTATTGAATGACAGCACTCAATTGCTTCTCAGAAATATTTGCAATCGGCGCACCGGGCCAAGAAATTGGCAAATTAGGGATTGTAAGTTGAATAAACAACTGAAAATATGAGAGAATTGATATTGGTACGCATTTTAATCAATAGTACTTTAATATAAATAGAAATTCGATGATAAATGGACTATTTTCAAATCGCGAAGAGGCTTTTTTTTTATAACTTTAAGATATTTTTCTGTCATGTTGAAATATTTATTATTTACATTTCAATATTTAAAATTCGCTAAAAAGCAGCGGTTTTCATTATAGTACCTGACTTAGATTATATTGCCGCCCAAATTATTGTTCATTACATTTATCTATGTTTATTAATATTTCAAATATATTTCTAATGTCATTTATTTATACATAACTTTTTAAAGTTTAATATTTCAAATATATTTCTGATGTCATTTATTTATACATAACTTTTTAAAGTTTGATATTTCAAATATATTTTTGATGTCATTTATTTATACAGAACTTTTTAAAGTTTCATATTTCAAATATATTTTTGATGTCATTTATTTATACAGAACTTTTTAAAGTTTAATATTTCAAATATATTTTTGATGTCATTTATTTATACAGAACTTTTTAAAGTTTCATATTTCAAATATATTTTTGATGTCATTTATTTATACAGAACTTTTTAAAGTTTCATATTGCAAATATATTTTTGATGTCATTTATTTATACAGAACTTTTTAAAGTTTCATATTTCAAATATATTTTTGATGTCATTTATTTATACATAACTTTTTAAAGTTTCATATTTCAAATATATTTTTGATGTCATTTATTTATACATAACTTTTTAAAGTTTCATATTTCAAATATATTTCTAATGTCATTTATTTATACAGAACTTTTTAAAGTTTCATATTTCAAATGTATTTTTGATGTCATTTATTTATACATAACTTTTTAAAGTTTCATATTTCAAATATATTTTTGATGTCATTTATTTATACAGAACTTTTTAAAGTTTCATATTTCAAATATATTTCTAATGTCATTTATTTATACAGAACTTTTTAAAGTTTCATATTTCAAATGTATTTTTGATGTCATTTATTTATACATAACTTTTTAAAGTTTCATATTTCAAATATATTTTTGATGTCATTTAATTATACATAACTTTATAAAGTTTAATATTTCAAATATATTTTTGATGTCATTTATTTATACATAACTTTATAAAGTTTAATATTTCAAATATATTTTTGATGTCATTTATTTATACAGAACTTTTTAAAGTTTCATATTGCAAATATATTTTTGATGTCATTTATTTATACATAACTTTATAAAGTTTAATATTTCAAATATATTTCTGATGTCATTTATTTATACAGAACTTTATATAGTTTAATATTTCAAATATATTTCGGATGTCATTTATTTATAAAGTTTGATATTTCAAATATATTTCTGATGTCATTTATTTATAAAGTTTAATATTTCAAATATATTTCTGATGTCATTTATTTATACAGAACTTTATATAGTTTAATATTTCAAATATATTTCTGATGTCATTTATTTATAAAGTTTAATATTTCAAATATATTTCTGATGTCATTTATTGATAAAGTTTGATATTTCAAATATATCTTTGATGTCATTTATTTATACATAACTTTATAAAGTTTAATATTTCAAATATATTTCTGATGTCATTTATTGATAAAGTTTGATATTTCAAATATATCTTTGATGTCATTTATTTATACATAACTTTATATAGTTTAATATTTCAAAAAATTTAATTGTAGACCGATATAAAAAAATATATTGAAGCTGAACGAAAGAATATCAAAGTCTCATAGCCAGTCGGAAAATCCATGGACAGGACAAATCAACATCCCGGAATTGAAACTAAATAAAAATGGACCTCTCTCGAGAGGTAGTATCAGGTGTTCCAGAAAGAGTGAGCATACTCTAACTCGTGAACTGCATCCGCCAATATCTAGATAATCAGTTTCAAATGAAATGAGGCCAATCGAAATTGAATATTCCAGGAATAATATTAGTCACAAATTAACAAATGATGGTCTACACCCAACATAAAAATCCGTCAACAACTTTGACACTATAGTGTCGAGAGATCAACCAGATCCTGGTGACGACCAAAAAAACTTTTTCAATGTAGAAACCAATCTCGGTTTTAAGTAACCATGTGTCAACAATTTAGAGGTCAACACCGACGCTCTCGGCACAATATCATCATATGCGGAAGAAGCTCTGGCTTAACGTATCAGCTGGGAAACGTAAACGCCATATTAAGCGGGAGAAGAGGGAATATTGCTGCTCAAAAATGGAAGGTTGAAGGAAATGCGAAGTCATCTGGACATCAACCCATGATTGTCATGATTCAGTAATACATCTAAATAGGAGGCCAAATATTCGTCTCTCTAGTTTCCTTTATTACAAGTTCACTTTGATAAATCCCACTAAGCTATTTGGTTTAAAATCGAGGTTATTGACGAACAAAACATCGTCAAAATATCGATATGAAAAATTGAACTTGAGAGCCAATATCTTATTACCTATGCAGAACCTAAAAAACATGTTGTCTGAAGATCGCATAGCGTTAAACTCTGAATAACAACATGTTCTTTTAGGATTAGGTCAATTATTATATTTATTTAATCTAATATTTCAAATACATATACAGATATCATTTATTTATGTCTTTGTATATTTTTATATTGTAATCATAATTTTGATACCATTTATTTATGTTCAACATTATATATTCTAATATTTCATGTCTGATGTCAATTATGTATTATAAACAATATTTTGTTATTTAATTTTATGCTATTTTACATATACTCTTAAAAACAGTGATATGCATATTATAATACGACAAACTAATTATATATTCATGTACTAAAAATTTATATATCTATGAAATTTGAATTATATAACAACAGCGAACTTTTGCTGTTTAATTACCTTTAATTTTACATATTTTGATATTTCAATAAGATCTCTGTTCCATAACACTGAAATTTCATAAATCTGTATTCACGTTTGATTTGATGTACAAGTCATATATATCATTTATATAAAAATTAATATATTATTTATTACCATAACAAAATATTTTCACTGCTAGAAAAGTGAATAAGAAATATAATTATTTCCATATTTCATTTATATTTCGCTTCAAAAGCAGCAATATTTTATAATTTATTTGGAATTTTTTTTTTAAATCAATCAAGATATGAATTCCTTTTTGAAAATTCAATTAACTTCATGAAACAAAAACATTTAATGGCACATAAATGCCTTAATTATGTTGTGATATTTCAGTTTTTGTCTGTTTTTAAGCTACGATATTTCACCATATTGGTTTACATCATATATTTCAATATTTAATTCATATTTAAGTTCTATAACATCAAAAATTTAATTGTTTGTTTCTTTTTTTTTTTCTTTTTTTTTTTTGCATTTCAATTAATTATTGTTCTAGTTCAAATCTTATTAAAATAAGGTTCCAATTCTTTTTTATTCTGATATTTTTCTCCAAAAAAAATTAGAAAAAAGACAGAAAGCCTACTTTATCAATTATTTATGCAAAGTTTTAAAATGACTTACCTGTTTCATATTGAGGTTGATACTGAGAGGGCACAGAACTGTAAGTATTGTGTAAAACTGGTGGATTGTGGGGATACGGTAGTCCCTGGGTACATGATGACGTCATACCAGAATTAAAACCTTGATGAGATGATGTGAAATACGGCATGGCTGGACTCGGTGACAATGGTGATATAGGACCTGTAGAGAACTGAGATGGGTGAACTATTGGATGTTTCAAAGACAGTAAAGCATCAGCTATATCATGGGATCCCTTCTCTTTAAAGATTTGAATATCTCTAAAAAATAGAAATTTATAGATCAGACTATCTTGCATGTATATCCATAGTTCTCAGAAAGGGAAGTTAAGATACCGAATGGTATGAGAGAAAGAATAACATTGTTGAATTCGTTTCAAAAATACTGATCAGAGAGGGTGGTTTAGTGTGTGCTTGTTTTACTTTTTTGCGTTGAGAAGAAGACAAAAACATTATGATGTAAGCCATGCCCGGGAAAACACAGATAATAAGGATATTGTCTGAACTAGTTATTCCATATCAGCCGAAAGGCACATCATGGAGGAGGTCATAGATTTCTTGCACTTTTTGTACCAAAATAAAATGGTATACGCGTATAGGTTAAGCTATGTTTTAGATTTTATAATATTGTTTTATAATATTGAATAACTGACGTCGCGTATATCTTTGAAAATTTCTTATTCTCCTTTAAAAGAAAGAAAATAAAATCTGTAAACTTTTGTAAAAGTTGTGAGAGTAAAACATTTAATCAGCATTATGTTCTAAAATCCAAAACATCTGACCTGTAGTTAGGAGGGCATGTAGAAAGTGAAAATAAGCTGGGAACTGGTTCAAACTCTAAGGTCGAGGTAAAATTTGTCAAGGGAGGAAAGGACTGTGATGTCTGAAGATCGGCAGAAGATGGTCGACTTGGTGTTTCTGTTTTCCAAAGATCAAAATGACCACTATTATTCAATGAATAATCCATCTAAAACCTATAATACAATATATACAGCAGTGTCGGTAAGTCATTGTCGTGTTCTGATGAGTCCCTGAATTTTTTTTTACGCGACAAAATCTTATCTGATGCTTCCGAAATGTGCTACAGATATAAAATCCTCATCATGACAGTCTTACGTTTTCTTTTCAAAAAAAGAAAAAGGTTATAGGTAGATCTTTTGCTATAATTTATAATTATAATACAGATATAACAGAACTTTTATATATGCAATATGTATTTTTTTTTTTTTGGTAATTTCATATTAGAATTTATTTAGTTTTAAATACTCAAATAGAATAATTATAAATTTGCGAATCTACAGTAACAAATATTTTAAAAAGTGTATTAAACTTTGAAACATTACACATCAAATATATTGAATTGCATGTAGAATTATAATCTAGAATAACAAAATTACATGTAGAAAATAAAGGTAAAAAATTAATATTTTGTGATAAATATTTAAAATATTAGAAAGATGTAAAACTAAAATATGAAATATTTGCAGTGGAAGAAATTTGATAATTCAAATATGATGGATATTAAAAATAAAAAATATGAAAAATTGATTGATAAATTGTAAATATACTGAAAGATTGAAGATAGTTATCCGATAAATGTAAAACAATTACAAACCTAAAATAAAATGCAAAATTCTACACACTTTATCTTGACGCGAAAAATCGAATTTTAAACAATTAATAACAAATCTGTGGAAATATGTGAAATATCGAATTTTTGAAAAAATTGAAATTTAGGTATACGATATATATATTGATATAATATTATGAATTCCCTATGTAATTCAGTAAAAATTTATTTACCTTTAACAAAATATGAAGAATAGAATAACATTTTATATTTGAAAAATATGCGATTATTTAATTGAACAAAATCCTGAATAATGTCATAATTCATTATCAAAAATACTGGTACCAGACTGTTGTATTATTACAGGCTTTTATTAGAATTGAAAAATCATCATGTTTCCGAATGCAACTGATTGTGTAAATCTTTTAATATTTCATAATTTTATTAATATATAATTTAATGTTATAAACATTAATTTTATAATAACATATTTAAAAAATAAATGATAAAACATAAGCTACTGTACTGTACTGTACATATTCACTATTCAAATTTAATTCAATAAACATATTTGATGATTATACTATGATTTGGATATTTGTATATAAAAATCCAATAGATCAAAACTAATTTTATCACAAAATATAATAAAATCTGTAACGTACTTCTCATTATATTCGATAATTAATCAAATCTTTATTATTATGATAATTTGATAATCTAATTGTTTGATTTAACTCTTTAACATGATGGTAAGAAAACCTGTTAATCATTGTACTAAGAAAAACAAGAAACCTACCTGTAAGACTACGGAAGAACTTATCACTCTTTCCAGTTCCCTAAGATTTTCCATTATAACTTGTAACACTCTCTTAAATAATACGTTTCTCAAATTAAAACACGCTTGTTTGTAAATTGAGACTTGATTCTTTTTCAAATATATTTCTCTATTACCCCACCAGGCAAATACACAACCTATTTCCTATGGCTTCTGATTCTTAATGTTTTTCCACTTCCAATCTCCCGTCGTGAATTTTGTTGGTATCTCTCTGATAAATCATTAAACTCTCATTGGTTAATGAGACAGAAAATAGATGGAATCGTGATATGTGATTGGTCAAGATGGTGTCCGTTGAAAAGAAGCCTGGAAATCAACATGAAATACAAGTCGAATCTATTTGACGTGAAATGAGGTGAAGCCAAAGAATTATTAACTAAGAGAGACTATTTACGACAGTTTCATGTAGAATGAAGACTTAAGAAGACAAGATTCCTGTCAGATTTCACTTGTATTACAGCGTGACAATTTTATTCTGTAAACACCTACTTGATTACACGTCTTGGCAACCAGGGCACATTGGCAAGCACGTGTATGGAAGAAATACACGTGCATTCTGCTTTGGTTCCGCACGCTGTATGGTAAACAAAGTAATTATGTGGAAATATTGAGAAAGTAAGCAGGATGTAATCGCTGTTTGGTCTTTGAAAGAATCAAGATTTTGTGTTCCTTTCCTTAGCGGATGTTTTATCAATTCTGCTAGAATATCGATAGTGGAAATCATTTTCTTTGCAATCTCTATGCGAATTACAGCATTGCGACATCTATGAAATAAGTAAATAATTGCCAACAGTATAGCCAAATCATGACCAAGTTGAAAACCTTTATGTACCTTATCGTATGATGAAAAACTATTTTATTTCTTATTATTGTGATGAAAATAAAGCTAAACTTGTTATTGGTGTGCTTTTGATGTCTCCGTTGTAATGTAACAAGTTTTCTTCCGCAGTTCCGTTCTAATAACGTCACTTTTAAGCAATCAAATAGTGTCATAGAACCTATTTCATCCAAAGCCCCACACATTGGTTTCTTGATAACACCGAAGACTTGTGCGGTAGCGAAACCCAAAGTTGTACTGATAAACTAACTGGACCAGAGCAAATATGCCACAAATTTCAGTGAGATTATAGATATCAATTGAAATTCGGTGCATTAAAACCTTGTTTTAAAGCCATATATAGGTAATATTTCTACGTGTCCTTATCCACATACAGCTCGTGCAGCTCTATAAGGACATGCATTAATCAAAAATCGAAATTGTTTATTACTACTTCTTGTAACATAAAGTTAAAATAGTCATATATCAATGTATTCATTCCATATATGACTTTAATCTAGAATTCATGATTCATGATTTAAACATAGACTATTTTATATGCATGAAATAAAAATTTCATACAAAAGTCAGAAAAAAAAGAATAAATCTTACGTAAATCTGTCTCCATTAAAAACAGATTACCAAATTATCAAATCAAGTAAGTATTGAAGGTAAATCAAAGAATGATCAAACAAGGTCATACTGGATATAAATTATAGTATGATCAAATCAAATACCAAACAATGTAAAACTGAATATAAAAATAATATAATTAAATCAAGTAAGTATTGAAGGTAAATCAAAGTATCTCCGAAGAAGGTAATACTGAATATAAATTATAGTATTACCAAATCAAGTAAGTATTGAAGGTAAATCAAAGAATGATCAAACAAGGTCATACTGGATATAAATTATAGTATGATCAAATCAAATACCAAACAATGTAAAACTGAATATAAAAATAATATAATTAAATCAAGTAAGTATTGAAGGTAAATCAAAGTATCTCCGAAGAAGGTAATACTGAATATAAATTATAGTATTACCAAATCAAGTAAGTATTGAAGGTAAATCAAAGAATGATCAAACAAGGTCATACTGGATATAAATTATAGTATGATCAAATCAAATACCAAACAATGTAAAACTGAATATAAAAATAATATAATTAAATCAAGTAAGTATTGAAGGTAAATCAAAGTATCTCCGAAGAAGGTAATACTGAATATAAATTATAGTATTATCAAATCAAATAAGTATTGAAGATAAATCAAAGTATAGATCAAACAATTAATACTGAATATAAATTATGAAATTATCGAATTAAATGAGTATTTAAGGTAAATCAAAGTATCACCAAAAAAGGTGATACTGAATATAAATTATAACATTATCAAATGAAGTAAGTATTGAAAGTAAATCAAAGTATCTCCTACACAAGGTGATACTGAATATAAATTATAGTATTATCAAATGAAGTAAGTATTGAAGATAAATCAAAGTATAGATCAAACAATTAATACTGAATATAAATTATGAAATTATCGAATTAAATGAGTATTAAAGGTAAATCAAAGTATCACCAAAAAAGGTGATACTGAATATAAATTATAACATTATCAAATGAAGTAAGTATTGAAAGTAAATCAAAGTATCTCCTACACAAGGTGATACTGAATATAAATTATAGTATTATCAAATCAAGTAAGTATTGAAGGTAAATCAAAGTATCTCCTAAACAAGGTGATACTGAATATAAATTATAGTATTATCAAATGAAGTAAGTATTGAAGATAAATCAAAGTATAGATCAAACAATTAATACTGAATATAAATTATGAAATTATCGAATTAAATGAGTATTAAAGGTAAATCAAAGTATCACCAAAAAAGGTGATACTGAATATAAATTATTGTATTATCAAATCAAGTAAGTATTGAAAGTAAATCAAAGTATCTCCTAAACAAGGTGATACTGAATATAAATTATTGTATTATCAAATCAAGTAAGTATTGAAGGTAAATCAAAGTATCTCCTAAACAAGGTAATACTGAATATAAATTATAGCATTATCAAATCAAGTAAGTATTGAGAGTAAGTCAAAGTATCTCCAATTCAAGGTAATACTGAATATAAGTTACCAAATCAAGTAAGTATTAAAAGTAAATCAAGGTATCACCAAAAAAGGTGATACTGAATATAAATATAATATTATTAAATCAAATAAGTATTGAAGGTAAATCAAAGTATCTCCGAAGAAGGTAATACTGAATATAAATTATCGTATTACCAAATCAAGTAAGTTTTGAAGATAAATCAAAGAATGATCAAACAAGGTCATACTGGATATAAATTGTAGTATTATCAAATCAAATACCAAACAATGTAATACTGAATATAAGAATAATATAATTAAATCAAGTAAGTATTGAAAGTAAATAAATGTATCTCCGAAGAAGGTAATACTGAATATAAATTATAGTATTACCAAATCAAGTCAGTATTGAAGATAAATCAAAGTATAGATCAAACAATTAATACTGAATATAAATTATGAAATTATCGAATTAAATGTGTATTTAAGGTAAATCAAAGTATCACCAAAAAAGGTGATACTGAATATAAATTATAACATTATCAAATGAAGTAAGTATTGAAAGTAAATCAAAGTATCTCCTAAACAAGGTGATACTGAATATAAATTATAGTATTATCAAATGAAGTAAGTATTGAAGATAAATCAAAGTATGGTCAAACAAGGTAATACTGAATATAAATTATAGTATTATCAAATGAAGTAAGTATTGAAGGTCAATCAAAGTATAGATCAAACAATTGATACTGAATATAAATTATGAAATTATCGAATTAAATGAGTATTAAAGGTAAATCAAAGTATCTCCTAAACAAGGTGATACTGAATATAAATTATAGTATTATCAAATGAAGTAAGTATTGAAGAGTCTTGAGTTCAAAGTATGAAAAATTCCAGATAAAACAAATGATGAAGTGGGCATATATCACAAAAAAAAAATAGAAATTTCACTGAAAAATGCTTATAATGTACTAGAACTCATTTTTTGTATACCAGTTCTTATGATGTAATATGCAAACATAAATAATGGCAGCCTGTGAGAAATAAACTAAATAAGGGTAGAAAGTGGTTTTATAGTCGTTAAGTGTAGGATACATCTTACAACAAGTTTTTCAATACACATATCAAGGCTAGGACCTCTTTCAAGCTTCAAGCCCGCGTTAAATAACTCGCATAGGAATAGAATAGATTTCTTTTGGCACATACATGTATTGCGTGTTGCGGGTAGGCTGCCTTTAACTAGGATAATGTTCTAGAATGTGTGTCAAAATTAACAAGAAATTAACAGTGAGGTAAATTTGAGAAAGTATTCACGTAATCTTGCTGTGAATATAAGCAAGTATTATTTTTAGTCCCCTGATTTGAGTCTAAAGATTTGACGTTATTCAATCTAAAACATTTCTGTTGATAACAATGTTCCCCAATTATACATTTGTTTTGATTACAACGATTAATTATCTTAGCTCTGTAAAGTGAGTCACAAGGCCAGAAAATGAAGTCTGTGTGCGTCGGTAAAGCTGGGGGAAGGTACTGGACACGTGATCAGCTAGTGGCACCACTAGGCGGGAGCTGTTACATTATGGTTTCTGTACATTAAGTGAGTTGATGCCGGTGGGTATGATAGAGTTTAATTACTACAACCAGAACATAATAGACAAATAATTATAATAATTAGAGGTAAACACTTGAAACTTTATTTCTTAACAAAACTTCTTTTTAATAATTCAACATTTTCTAGATATTGAGATGTTGTTGTTGAAATTAGATACTCTTATAATAAACAGGACTGATAATTTTTCATCTCAGGTCAGAAGAATTTAATGTGCGTCCGCAATTTTTTTGCTTGCCTGAATATATTTCAAAGCAATAAATATCCTTCAGGCTGTTATAACTAAGTAATGTTAATACAGGAATGTAACAGATAATCATACTCTTAGATAAAGTTAACAATCTGTGGTTTCCATTTAGGACCTATCATATAGAATTTAAGAAGTACCTTTAAAATATCAACAAAACAAAATCATAATATAATCGAATTTGGAAATATTTAAACTATTTTAACAGTGAAAATATTTTGTTATGTACATTCGTAGTTTAATCGAATTTATGACATGAATTTTCTACCTACTACTAATAAATATGATATATGTAAATGTTATTTAACGGAGCGCAGACTCAATGAGTTAATATCATTAATTAATGCTAATGACTTGAGGTCACAGAAATTTGAAGACTTACAAGTCGCTGGCTGTGTCATTTTCATAACAGATACAAACAAACACACAGTAGTATTCCATGAAACAAATGATATTATGGAATACCTGTGTTTAAGTTGAGTGTAACTACATGGAATTATAGTATTTCCGTGTATTTTTGTAAATGAATTTTTGTAAATGTACTATTTTTTGTACGAATGAATTATTATTATTATTATTATTATTATTATTATAACTTGTTTATTTGTACAGAAGGTTATTTAAGGTAAGATTCGAGAAGACATCAAAATAAATATTTTATTGGATTTTCTTTTTAAATTTGGGCAAAGAACGCTTCATTATATATATAATTATATTTAGTATTGTAAATAAATGGAATAAATGATAACTTTTAATAAACTAATAGCCTAAACTAAGCTGTTATTGTAAATAAGGTGATTAAAAGTTAAATCGTTTTGGTCATGATAGCAACAAACATTGTCAAGATTGCCTAAATTGTTTGTTATCGAGCTTGGATATGTTATTTATGTAAGTTTTTTTAAGTAAAGAAAAGAAACTGATTATTAAAATAAGTGTCATGATTATGAATTGTTGTCAACGGATATGAATTCATGATTCTCCAGTAGCCGTCGTTTTTTATATATTGATATTTTCAATGATCGTTGTACACAATACACTAATTGTCTTTTATTCACGGTGGAAAGATAAACTGTGAACGAATACAAGCTTGTTAAAGACTAGTGGCTGATGAAGTGCCCAATACATCAATTGTTGATGAGGGCTAACATAGCATGCTGGATACCTTCAGGGTTTAAAATGGGTTCTTGAATTAAAACTATCATAGGTTAATTAAAACGTCTGTTTCTGCTTCGATGTGCATGCACGTGCAATTTTTTTCTTTAAAAACTTGTAATGCAATTCCTATGCCCGCATGTTGATTGTTTGGAGATTCCAATTATAACCCGACCGGGTCATTATAATAAACTGACCCTCGAAAATCTAATTAAACGTCTACGGTAAAACATTGGGTGTTATTATATAGGCAATATCTTATATGATAACTAGGCCTGAAATGGTTATTTTATTGCATAAGATATACCAAAAGGGATAATTTATACCTTTTATCTAGTAATTTTTTTTTCAGAAATATGTTTAATATTTTATTTCAGAAAATTAATTTGGTTTCTGGAAGCAACATTGAATGATGGATGGCTAAGTTCCTTTAATATTATTTTACGTCGGAGTATATGATAACCATCTTTAGCCTAATATTTTGATTAAAAATTAAAATTGAAAATTATTATCATAATTGTTATAAACATTACTTCTTTATTAGACTGAACAGCAGACCATCCCAGAACATACAAAGAGCCGAGATATACTAGTTTCAGGTGCTTCGAAAGCGTAAAAAAGGCAGAAAAATTGTCCTTTTGTTGAAAAGAAATTAAATTGCACACAATTTCACCTTCAGATTTTTTAAAAAGAATTTTTATGTGTTATCTACGGAAGCGTATTAGGGCCATCCAGTTTGTTTTTTTTTAATTTTCAAGTTAGTTTGTTGAATTTTCAGGATACTAGCTTGAAAATTCAAGTTACTAACTTGAAAAGTCGTTGAATTTTAGTATGTTCAAGTTATATGTTGAAAATTCAACAAACTAACTTGAAAATTCAAGATAATAACTTGAAACTTCACCATGCTAACTTGAAAAGTCAACATGCTAACTTGAAAATTCAACATACTAACTTGAAAAGTCAACATACTAACTTGAAAATTCCAAAAATAAAAAATGAATGGCCCTAATACGCTTCCGTACTTCCGTACTAATACGCTTCCATAGTAATCTATTCATATTCAACTAACAGTTAAAAGTTTTATAAATCTAAAATTGGATTACTATTGATGATTGCCTTGTCGATGTGTGATATACAGTTGTCTGAAGATTCATAACGCGAAGCTCTGAGTAACAACTTGTTTTAGGTTCTGTTTAAATATTTCTAGTTGGAAATATATGAATATAATATATAAAGCTTGTAAAGCATTTGTGTACCTTAAAATAAATACCCGTTTTGTTTTATTTTTACTAGTGAATTTTTTTCCAGCTGACCAATGCAAAATAACCATATTTTTCTTTAATAGCTTAAAGATGGGTTCCCTTATATTTATTTATGAAATGAAAATGTTAATACTTATATGAAAAGTAAATTGAGATGTTCTAATGAAAAATATCAGTTTGTCTCACATGTCCATAATTAATTCATAATTAGCTAAATTAGAAAAGAATTACCAGCTGAATTCCAATGAGTGACCGATCAAGAAAGGTCAAAAAGTCTTTTTTGTTTATCCAGACTGTACATACATTGACATTTGACACTAAAAAATAAAACAACAATAAGCGGACAACAATAAAATTCTTACAAATTCTGTTAAAATGCATCAAGGTATTAAACGTGTCAGTCCAAATTTATTTTGAACAAAGAACCTTATAGGTTCTTCATTTAGTTTCGGAAATGAACTGAATGGAGTTTTACGTCCTACTTTTCTGCACCTTGTGGGCTAATGGAGACGGGCAAACGACATGCAGGGTGCCATGAGGGAAATTTTGCCAGGACAGCGGCATTAGCCTGCTCTTTTTCGATTTCAAACTGTCGAGGGATCTTTAACGTGCACATCCTGTAGCACACGGGGCCTCGGTTTATTGTCCCATCCGAACGACTAGAATCATTTTCCTTGTCAGTCCTTCTTATCTGACATTGGGAAACCGTGTTGAAAAATCGAAAGGTATTAACTCGACCTATGCGTGCATATGGACCTTCATGTTAGCGAGCAAGCGTCTTACTCACTGAGCCACCGCGACTCCCATTTAGTTTCGGACACTTTTGCTGCAAGTACAAATAGGTCTCTACGACATTCAGAATAAATCACAATATCTTTGAGTAAATGATCATGAGACGTGAGGAGACTTACAACATCTGTAGGCCTATCATGGTCGTGATTTTGCTGTGGAATGACTAAAACGCTTGCAAAAGTCACATTTAACAATATCAAAAATTTATTTTTTAGGAAAATTTGTTGCACAGGCTAACTTCGGTGCCACGCCCACTTAAAAATCAAAACATCAAAAACAATATTCATGCCCTTGTAGAAAACAACAAAATTCCTTGTGTAGTAAAAAGATTTGTTATAGCATTTTGAATTCGGCTTCGACTCCCCCATTGAGTCAGTCTGTCCCATTTGTACCCCCTTTGTCGGGAGACTAGCGTTTCCACTTTGTCTTAATATTTCACTCATTTATTTAACTGTAACTGTTGGGAGTATTGGGCATATCTGACTTAATCAATTTTAGAAGAAGATCAAGGATGCGTTAGTATGGTAATCCTGTTAATGCCATACACAATATTATTATATAAAACAATCACAAATATGGAAATTATGCTTATTGCTCTTCAATCGTCGCATCAACGGGTTCGTGAATATAGAGAACAAATAGATTTCTTACTTGATGATAGAAAAAAAGGTAGGAGGACTGGTGATCATCCAAAACACATTGCTGTTTTTCAGCTAACCAAGTTTTCGTGAAGACTAGGGTGTACATTGTTTACGGGGACAAAAAATGTTTTCTGATTTACTGGTGGGTAATAGAGTGCGTCTTTTATTCGCAATTATACGGTAATAATTCATGGATAATCTGAATCTTACTCAGTAAACTCGAACCTAGTTTATGCTCACGGAAATATGTTAATGTCCTATGGGAAATAATTGCATTTTCTATACTTTGCTGTAATGTTGAGAGAAACAAAAACAAGTAGATTTAATTAGATAATTATGTATATTATATCATAAAAGCACTGAACACAAGCTAGCACTATCAATATTATGTGCTCATCTACAAGAAAAGACAAGCAATGGCACTAAAAATTAACATGGGTCTGAAAGAAATTTTACAATTGATCAACAATGTTGTACAGACTAGAATCTTAAATGGAAATACAAAAAAGATAAAAGCAACATATAGAGACAAATATAATAGAGTATCTAAAGAATCACAGATCTAGTTTAAAGGAGTAATAATGTGATAATTCGTTCTTTATATCCATTTAACCATCTAAGGCAATAGGTAAAATTGACTGTACATGGGTTCATCTATTTGAAAACATGGCTCTTGTTTTATGTCAATTACGCCACTAATAAACATTCCACATCCTAATCAAAGTTCTTGAAATCTTAATGGTTAATTCAATTATTCCAATTCCAATTATTATTTAGCCAGATTGAAATAAAGTTCTACTCTTACTGAAACGGTCTGGCTTTTACTCTTAAGTCATATTCTATTAGGATTACTAATGATATTTTTAAATATATAAGAACAGAATATAACACTGTTCCTAATATATCTCAAATTTAAAAAAAAAAATAAATAACTAAGGAATGTTCTTTCTACAATATCATTTCAATAAATATTCAAAAAATAAACTTCATTATCAATTACACTAAATCCACAACATTAAAAAAAAACCCACTTAAAATTGGCAAAATAAACCTATCAATATATTCAATATAATAAACATCTACAAATGTCTTAACAATGTCAATAACATAGTCGTTCAAGAAGATTCTAAATAAGGAGGTAATTGCTATTATGGATTTCGTTTAGGTTTACTGTCTTCTGATAGCTGGTATCAATGGAATAAAAAGTGATATTTATTAAAATGCTAGTATAGTTTTCTTGATGATATTCAGACATTCCTGTAATTGTGACTGGGTTATATTTAGAGGTGGGGCAAATCGTATAATGTCACCATGGGTTGGTTTGGCCAGCAGACCATTATCACGTAACTTTAGACAAACTTCCCATGCATCAAATTCTAAAATAAAAAAGTCAAAATAACATTTATATGGATAAAGATAAGGTGGTACAACACTTTAGATTTAAGATGTGAGAATGATTTGAAAACTACAGCATTGTCAATATTCAACGTAGAGACCAATTTCGATTTTAAAAACAAAACTTATCCCAACAGAAACTTCCCTTTTTTGATCAAATACACCTTCAATCTGCTCCATGTGAAATCAACCATTGCTAATATTATTTTACACAAATTAGAAATAATCAGATAATGATATAAATTCTGAAAAAAAAAATCAGCATATAGAGGATAAATTATGATAAAATAACTTACTGGGATTAATTACAATAGCGTTCAATAATCCCTTTCCTCTAACTACACTAACAATATCTTTAGGTAGAGTAGACAACTCTTTTCTTAATACTTCACCAAGTCTTTCAGCATTTTCTGCCAACTTTTCTTCTTCTAACACCTAAATCAAAGATTTATAATTATATATTTTAACCTTCAACCTTTCATGTCACATGTCATGGAAAAATTAATAATTTCATCCAATTTATTACAGATTGATGCTTGAACAAATACAAATAACTTTTAACATCAATATATACCACTCAATATTTATTATTACCCTTGATAGATCTTATCTAACACAATGATGTAATGTGAAGATTATAAGATTACAAGTTCTTTTAAGGCAAAATCCAGAAAAATTGTGTGCATTACTTCCTTAAAGCTTATTCATGCAAACACCTCAAGTCACTTTGCATGCTTGTCAACATGGGTTCTCTTTTATTGTAAGAAATTTTTAAAAAATTCAAGGAATCTACAATAAGTTTCTGTTTCATGTATCATTAATTCATGTCAAAATCTATCCAGTCAATCAATCTATCCACTGAACATCAAGTTATGTCCGAACTATCCATTGAACATGGTGTCAATAGGTATATGATATTTTAAAAGGTTAATACCTCTAATGCTGCCATAGCAACACGACAAGCTAGAGGATTACCACCAAATGTTGATCCATGCTCTCCTGGTTTTATAGTTAACATAATATCATCATCAGCTAATATAGCAGATACCTACAAATATAATTAATAAATTGTCACAATATGATATAATTGTTTCAATTCAAAAGTTTTGTTTACAACTGTGCCGAATTTAAGATATTTCTTGTAAAAAAATCATACATATTGGGATCAAAGCTGGTAGAAAATTCAATGAATGCTTTGAAGAATTACCTAAAATCATGGTTGGTGAATGTAGTAACAAAAAACATAAAAATACAACATCATAGCTAGTCATAATGTGACCTTTATCTATTAGATGATGTTATTGTGAAATGTTTTCAAGTTTTAAGAGTGTTCTCCAACTTGAATCAATTTGACACTTCTTCAACTTTCAACATTATTTGACCCGAATCATATGGTAAGAGGTTACTTACAGGTAGAACTCCACCAGATAAAGCTTTACCCAATATTACCATATCTGGTCGTACATTTTCATGGTCCACACATAATCTCCTGTCAAACAAAACATTGTAAAATATTAATATGGTCTCTTTACAGGCTTGACAAGCACAATCATGGTTATATGAAACATCTTCTGCAATAGTTAAAACTATCCACTATAAAATTACTAATAACAGACACTCCATCATCAAACAAATATCAAAACCTTGTGTAAAGGGAGATAACAAAATAACCTATTTGCTAAACTAATTTTTGACGAGACAAAGTCATATATCTACTTTACTAACTAAATCTTTAGATGACTAAACCTCTTTGTAAGATATAACTAATCTATTTAGAGCTTAACTTCAGTTGGCTCTTACTTTTCAGATTTAGAAATTTACGTTTAATGATTCACCATTTTGGGAGGGTTGATTTGTATTTTGAATATGTGTGAATAGTCTTTACAACTATCCCTTCAAATATTCTTCAAACTTCCTTTTTCTATAAATATATCAAGTAAAGACGATTTGAAGCCTAAATTTGGATGGTGAGCTGTGAAACCTATTACTGGTTAGCTTAACTAAGAAATTTCTGTTTCTTCAACTTGGGTACAATTGGTACGAACGGATGGCAAATGTGTCCCTATGTTAACTTCCACCAGATGTTGTTGAATTGTAGATTCAGACTGCAGACTGCAGTTATTGAGCTTTATCTGCTTATAAAAAAAATAGCAAGAAATACCTTCCGGTTCTGGCTAGACCAGTTTGTACTTCATCAGCAATAAATAAAACATTATGTTTGGTACATAATTCACGAACTTTAGTAAGATAACCTTGATCTGGTACCACTACACCAGCTTCACCTTGTATAGGTTCAACCATAAACGCACAAACATTAGGATCTTGTAGTTCTTTCTGTAAAAATGATATTTTAAACATAAATTGTCATTTTGCACTTCAAATTTCAAATCTTTGTCTTTGAAATTAGATGAATTCTCGCAAGCATTACCTGTGTTTTTTTTCCAAAGATTTTTATACAAAGTTTTGTTCTGTCTTTAAGCAACTGATGTGATATGTCCGCAGTAGGAGAAAAAATAAAATTCTGCAAAAATTGAACACAAGGATAATAAGATGCAGACCATGGACTTATAGGCTACTGTTATTAGTTAATGAGCACTGGCCTAGATCACAACATAAAGATCTTTAACAAACAACTTCAACAAAACTATAAACAGTTTTAATGTGACGAACTATGAACCTCTGTACCCAGCCAAGAGCAATGACGCTGAACATTCAGAGAAAACTATAGAAAATACTATGTTTCTTACCTCTAAAGCAGGAATATCATTGTATGGAACAACAGAGAAACCTGGCATAAAAGGTCCATAACCAGAGAAACTTGAAGGATCTGTAGAACTAGAAATAGCAGCTAATGTTCGACCCCAGAAATTACCATCAGCGAAAATTATCTTGGCCTTATTATCAGAAATTTTCTTCACTTGGTAGCCCCATTTCCTGGCAAGTTTACATGCAGTCTCTCCACCTTCCACACCTAAATATAATCAATGACTACAACTTTTGCACAATTTTTCTATATACATGTATGGAATGTATATATATTTTTTGAGACCATCAAACATAAATAAGAACAGTTAAGTGTCAAGCTAGATGTGCCCTCTGGTAAGCGTCATTTGCATGCATATTAATCCAGTAACATTACATCACATTGTAAACTATAATTCTCGTTGAAAGAGAGAATTTAAAATTGTATTTATTATGTTCACATTCACATGGAATTTTGATGCTTGGCTATAATGGTCTAGAAGATCAGTCTCTGTTTAAACAGTACAAAATTCATCGTAACTTTTAGAAAAGTGAAAACAAGGCTATCAGCTAATAAGATTGGAGTGACATGCTAAATTACAGTTTATATGGTAGGTTACCTGTGTTCATTGGTAAAACTTTGTCATACTGGAATAATTTGGTAATAAATTCAGCATATTCACCAAGTAAATCATTATAAAAGGCTCGTGAAGATAAAGTAAAGATTTTAGACTGTTCTTGTAGGGCTTGAATAATCTTAGGATGACAATGGCCCTGGTTGACTGCACTGTAGGCACTGAGAAAGTCATAATATTTATTACCATCTACATCCCATACAAATACACCTGCAAAAATAACCATTTGAGTATTTTTATTAGTAAATCAAAACTACACTCAGAATGCAAACAAAATTCTTTACAATGTATATAGGCTATAAAACAATAGCCTTGTTATAAAAATTGCCAAGGTGTTTTGTCAATAAAATAAATGCAAATCATACTCTTATGACACTTCATTAATATACAAAAGCAAAATCAGATCAAAATTTTATCCATTTTATTGTCCATTTACCTTCTCCACGACACAGTGCCACTGGCAATGGACCATAATTATGGGCACCATATTTCTCTTCTCTAGCAAACACAGCCTCTGATTTGGCACCAACTTTAATTGTTGCAGCAGTTTGAGAATAGCTTAATCTTGTAATATTTCTACAGATTGTTGATGGATGAAGAAGTCTGCTGAACATTTTACCAAATATCTGTAATGATGCAATAACAACAAACTGTATTATCCTATACTTTCTGAATACTTTCACAAAATATTCCAACTTAGTGGAAGTAGTACACTAACCTTGTTTATATTTGTAAGAGTACTAACACACTGTTCTGAATACCAGCTCACACTAACCTGACTATGTTATTTATGACAACAAGTAGGTCAGTTTCTACATCAATATAAACCTATTTCACAACAATTTCATCATCCTAGCTACACACAACACCTTACTTTTCCTTTTACTAATATATTTTACACTAAATCTTCACATTTTCAACTTATTCAACAAATAGCATAAAATTCAAGAAATGGCTTTATCCCCTCATCCAATAGCTTATATGCATGAATAATCAACTAAAATTGGTTTTAAATTAGATTTGAAAAATTAACCATTCATGCATTTCACCAATCTCATAAGAGAATGTTTAAAATAATTTAAGTCAATATTTTGCAAAAAGCATCACTTCATTTTCACATATTTCTCCCCCCTTGGACAACCTGTCAAGAGTCTGACTCTGACCTTAGATCTGTCTTGTCAAATTAACAATGTTAATATTATAATTTTTGGGGTTTTTATCAAATGTGCCATGGTATAGGGTGTATAAAGATAGGCATTCTTTCTTCATAAAAAAATAGACTAATAGAAACATGATCATATTAATAACCAACTGTAACCAAAAGTCTTGTCCAAAGTATGACAACATCTGTAGCAATAATTGTATGGTAGTGGACTCCTCAATGAGAAGTTCCATCAAAAAGAGTAAGCATTGTCATATCAAACCCCTGGTCTCTGTCTGTCCTCAACCTTAACGCAGTGCTGATGTAACCTCTTTTAATCTGATTTTAGTTTTGAGTATATGTAAATAGTCTTCAGGAGTACTAGAAATGTATGAAAACAGCATAATTCCTTAAAAGCTTCTCTTAACTAGGATTTTTTTTTCTAAATATCACAGTCTATGTGAGTCGTCATTTTAACATTCAAACAAGGATAATTCTGAGACACACATGGATTTGAAGGCTCAAACACTATTACTGATTGGCTTAGTTAAAAAAATTCCTACTGGACTGTAGATGTATAATGTATATTTCTTTATCATTTTTGTTAAATATTATTGCCTTTTCATCAATGCTATATATTGTAAGAGGGTGCAGAGTCCAGGGCACCTAACCTTGGCATCCTAACAGGAAGTAACTTGGCAATAAATTATATTAATCCTATATAAAAAGATAGCCAGGCAAGGTAACATACGCCCACTGACAGCTGTCAGAAATGATTGAACATAAGTTACACAATATAGCTAATAGAGTGAAACGTCAAGTCAGACACTATATTTCTGTGAAAAATTATCCGATCATCACGAAAATCGATAGGGATCATCTTCATAATGACATTGAAAAACAAAATCAAAAGAATCTGTAAAGAATTGTAGCCTGTAGAGTGAGCACGAGTTGCACAATATAGTTAATAGAGTGAAACGTCAAGTCAGACACAATATTTCACTGAAAAATTATCCGATCATCATGAAAATCAACAGGGATCATCTTCATATTGACATTGACACACAAAATCAAAATCAAAAGAATCTGTAGAGTGAGCACGAACCAAATGCGAACGGACGGACCGACAGGGTGATTACAATATACGCCCATCTTATGTGTGGGCGTATAAAAAAAAGATTCCTGTTTCTGAGACTAAAGAATGATTGGTTAAAAAATGGTGCATCTGTCCCTTTAAAAAAAAAAATGTAAATTTGAAATATAATTACATTAAAGGCAGTTTTGAGTTAAAATATGAGCCATTTTCAGTAGCTGATTTGATTGGATGATTGTTAAATCTATGTACCAGTATATTAATATTTTTTATCTTTTCATCTAGCTTATATCTACACTGCGTATTCAATTCTATATATATATATATATATATATATATAATATAGCTAGCTCAATCTAGCCAAGATAATACAGCATAACAAGTAAACCTATTATAGACCTAACACAAGTGAATTAATGCAGTGCGACCTTTCTTGAATATTCATCAAAATAAAATTTTGTTATAACCCTGCTTTAAACAATCAAATTTCTGCCCTCTGCATTTTGTGAGTGAGTGACGGAATTTGATTGTTTAAAGCAGATATCATCAGATTAGGTTAAAAGGTTATTTTAACACATATTAAAGAGGCCAGTTTTTAGACGCCAACTGAAGGATAATAAAAATAAAAAAAGGAACCTTAGTTTAGTCTGATTTTAATTAGACTGTTTCAATACCAGATTTCAGGAAAAAATGGTCAAAAATAATATACAGAATTACAAATATATGGTACAGGATATCTTCACAATGTCAAGCTTGACTGCATTAGGCTCTTTTCTTGTATTATGAAATGCAGCAATATATGATTGTGTAATATAATATCTGTACAGTCTGTACCGGAAATAAAGGAATCAATGATTTTTTTTCCAAGGTAGGTCCAATCCTAAGTCATTATATTCATGCAATAAATATATTTTTAATCGTCAGTTGTAATTAATTATAAGGCATGTAGCCATTTTCTATTTTCAAAAGTTTTGTAATGTATGAATGGTGTATATCTTTGAGAACTGCGAATAATGAGGCTATATCCAAGAATGTATGGTGGTCAGAATCTGCCATGCATGATGATTAAACATAAAAAATGATGATTTTTCACAATAAAGTTGTCCTGGGCCCATTTTTTTGATTGATGGGATGTATGCCATGGAATTTCAGTATGTATCAGTTTCATAGAAATAATGGAAACTTATTGGTAAACGTTGCATTTTCCAAAAAAAAATTTCCGCAGGTGGATGCGTGTTGTGTTGTCAAACAAAACGTGGTGCAATGTGACCGATGAAGTTGCGTCACATATTCACAAACTGACCAATCACAAAATACACTGATAATTGTTTACACTGATAATACATTACAAGACCATATTTGGATTATATATACACCAATAGGCCTACAGCCAATCAGAGACTTTGACATAAATGACATATTTACAGACTTTCTGTTGAGGGCTCAGACTGGTTGTATGTGGTAAAGTACAATGCAATCAAATTGATGCATTTGCAAGCGTCCTTGATACAAGAAATGTGGTGGACAATGATGTCAATTGTATTAGACACAGTTTGAAATAGCTTGGTAATGGTATATCTCTGTACTTCAGGCTTATTGATTCACCTATTCCTATTCAGCCTATTGTCTCTATAAAATATTATTAATACCCTGAGCGAGTATAAATAGCCTAATCAATTTAGACCAACATTTTGCTCCATATGTAAAGCATATAGAGCTCTCGGTTAGCACGGCTCTATATGCAGATGACAGTTCGATTTGGACTGGTCACAATGGCCTCAATAAAGTTAAATGGCATATGCAAACTGCTCTGAACCAAGTTGCTAAATGGGCAAACGACTGGGGCTTCATTATTTCGGAAGCTAAAACCGTCGGTTTGATCTGCAGCAGAAAGAAAGATCATGACAGTATTGACCTTAGACTGAATGGTGTGAAGATTAAGCATGAGAATTCAGTAAGGTTCCTGGGAGTACACTTTGACAAGTGTCTGACTTGGAGTACGCACATTGACTATATCTGTAACCGGTCTACAAAAATCTTAAATGTTATACGTTATGTTTCAGGTACTGCATGGGGAGCAAACAGAGAAACTCTAATGATGATGTACAGGTCACTGGTTAGTTCAGTTATTGATTATGGTTGTATTGCCTATGGTAAAGCAAGTGATACTCAACTGAAGAAACTCGACGTTCTACACATGAAAGCTTTACGTATTGCCACCAGGGCAGCCGTAGGTACGAAGAATGAGGCGCTACTTCAGGAGGTGGGAGAGAAACCTCTCTCTCTTCGGAGGGAGGAGCTATTTCTCAAATTCTGGGGGAAACTTCAGTATTTGTCCGAAAGCTGTCCAACGTATTCCAGCATCAGAAGATTTACTCGTGTCGGAAATAACCAGAAGAATCGGAGTATTTCTTACGGGCAAGCGGTCACTGATCTATTGAGAGAGCATCAGCTCGATCAAGTAACGATCCTTGAACGACGCCTATCGGCTACTCCGTTTTGGAAGGTTACCAACCCGACAGTCAACACCCAGCTGATCCAGAGTACCAACAAGCACGAGAACCCAGTGGGAGCAAGAGCTTGCGCTCTTGATCTCATTGATTCCGTGTACGCCGACCAATTGAAGATCTACACCGATGGTTCCAAGAGTAGTACCGCAACAGGTTACGGTTTGTGCATCCCAGTAAAAGGATCCCCCCGCACTGTTCAGTGTTCACAGCAGAACTTTTTGCCATCAGGGACGCGGTAGCATGGCTGTCCGTCAATCACACGGAGCATGCCGCAATTCTATCCGACTCGCTAAGCAGCCTCCAATCTATTTTTCTCACCTCTTCTAATTGAAGGTCAGAAGTTATTTCCGAAATAAGAAGAATGATCCACAACTACCAAACCAACAACGACCAGAAGATTGAACTAGTATGGGTTCCATCGCACGTCTCCATTCCTGGCAATGATCAAGCAGACCGTTGTGCCAAGGAAAGTCTGAGTCTGGAGGATATCGAACCTGTAGAATACTCCTATTCGGAGTTCTGCAGTATCGTATCTTCTAGGATCAACCAGAAATGGGCCGACATGTTACGGAACCTCGACACCGCAAGATACCAGATTGATCCGAAGATACCAAACCAAACCAAACCATCCATGTGTAGCCATCTGCAAAGTGGCAACCAGACTCCGGACCAACAACGTACTACGAGACCATCAGTTCAACGCCATTAAATGTCGCTGCGGCCACGTTGCCACAAGGTCGCATGTCCTCATACAATGCACTGAACTGAAACCCGCTCGTAAGCCACTGCTAGAGTACCTGGAAACCAACGGCATACCACTCAACCTACAGAATGTTTTGGCTCCACCCATGGACCACTGGTATACGATAATGGAACTAGTCTTCCATTTTATAACCAAATCTGTCTTGAACAGATAGGCTAAGTTTTTATACTTTTTTTTATAGCTTCCCCCCCTCCCCCCCTCTTTCCTCCCTCTTTTTCTCACTTTCTTTTTTTTCTTTTTTTTTTCAGGTCTTCGAGTTTTCCAACAGACAACAGATAATCTAACCAAACCAAACCAACGACTACCAATCAACAAGAAATACCATGATAAGAACGAGTTTGGAAGAATGAAGGAGACCGAGTAACTCACGCCACACCATCCAGGGCCGAGTTTCACCGCCATGTCATTCGACCCGACCAGATCTAACGAAGAATCAACAACCAAACCAACAACACCAAATCATCCAATTTGATCCAATCCAACTACTACGACTACCAACAACTACCTAGTTTGCGATATCAGCATCCGCTGGAAGCGAACGTTAACTTGTCATCTACCTACCTACCTAGACCAACATTTCAAAATTTAACATTGCTGAGGTGTCAGAACATGAACATGCAGTTAGGTGAAAATAGCTCATATATTGGAGCATAATAAGGCCTATAACTTTATAAGATAGACTCTTTTTATATCTGTACTCTAATAATAGGCCTAATAGTAATATATCATATTTAATGAATGGAATAATTGAAAAATATAAATCAAATATTAAATTGTGTTTCAAAAAAGCCTCTTAAGTCTTGGGTCTGACCTAGGCCTACATAGACAGTTTCCCTCAGATTCATTCTTACCTGACGATAGCGAGTTACAGAGATCTCTCACGTCGAACAGTTTTCATTCAGCTACCTGCAATAAGAGTTAAAATTATTAAATATACTGAACAGTGTATAAATAGTGAAATATTGAACCAATCGGAGAAAAGGACCAAAGGTGGTTGGAATGAAAAAGTTCAATGCCCTGTGTCACCAGTAAGCCGTAGGGTCATGGTCATGGAAAATTCATTTTCTTTAAGAAAAGCGACAATAACACCTCACTTCCCACTTTATGTACAGTAATCTACGCATTCTAGTTCTTTCCTTTATCGGAATATAATGTCATGAAAATTAAAAGTATGCCCGATCAAAGCAGATGGGCAGATTGTACCATCCGTCCTTTCTTGGTTCAAAGTTCATAGTTCATATAGTAACAAACAGACTGAGTGGAAATTTTTCATTCGCATGCGAACTTGATTTGTGTTATAAAGTCTGATTGACCACGACAAGAAAAGAGATAGTAATTAAACATTTAATTGTTTTGAAAATAATGATTAGGCGAGAAATTTTAATTTTCAATCAAAACTACGAAAATAAAAATGATGAACGAGCCCACAGTACGAAAATGCGGCTAACTTATATAAGTTCTTACCATGCTTTATAACGGTTTACCTACTAAGACAAAAACATTTTACAAATAACTAACAATCTTAGATTACTTTATGTGCTTATATTCTAAGCAAATTAACGACACTAGCATTGACTGTTGATATTAAGAATATGAATAACGTACATATGTTTTAAGTGGAAGACATTTGTGTATTAAAAATTGCATAGTCGCATTAAAGGACACAAACCGTCGTCGACTTCAAAAATATAAATTGCTACAACAATAACCAACAAGTCTTGTGGTGAAAAATGGATTAAATGATTCAGACTATTAAGAAATCATGTCTGAATCAGAAACAGAACTTGTGACTGAATTTACAAGTTTATTGGAGAACTGGAATTCAGAAAGATCCTCGTGGATTGGAGAAACCTTAATTCGGAAATTGACAAGATTGGCAGAGATAATAGAAACAGAAACAGAAGCCTATTATAAACTTGATTTAGATCCATTTGATGACCGGCATCCAGATCGAGCAGACCCCAATTCAGGATTAGGAAAATGTCTGAAACTATTGTCTAAAAATGACCAATTTTTGAATGAAATGGTTAGTCAGTATTTGATGAGAAGTAGAGAAGATGTACAACGTCAGACAGTGTCATGTAGACTATTATTAGATGTCATGCCTGGTGTAGAAGCCTCCATACTATTCCAGGAGACTGAAGGACTTACTACAAAATTATTTGAATGGGCAGAGAAATCACCAGAACCACTTCGTACCTATGCCACTGGACTACTTGCAGTGGCTATAAAATTGCCAGAAATTGCAGCTGATTTTAGAGAAAAGAATGCTCATCTTGTGCCTATTATGTTGGGAAGACTTCATTCACTGAAAGAGAGTCAACATGGAAACAAAATGAAGCGACATTTTTCGGAAATTAACCTTGATAAATCAACATCAGCCCAGCAAAGTTACTCCAGAGACTGCAAAAAAGTCTCTGAAAAATCTTCTCTCTCCAGCTTTGAATCAATTAGCAACTTGAATGTTAGTCCTTATAAATCTTCCAGTGAAGATTCGCCTAACACATTGTCACCAAATAGGTCATCAATAAAACGCAGACTGTCTCCAAGGAGTGATGATTTTCTTGGTAACAAAAGAACAAGATATGACAGTTCTGGAAATCACTTTCCCGAATATAGTAACAGCAGTTGGTCTGATATGGAGCACTATATTATAGGATCTTACTCCATGTCACCATTGAGTGTTACAATGAAACAGAGAATTATATTACAATACTTAATACCAATGGGTGAATATCAGGAACTGATGGGACATGCATTTGAATACAATGCAATGAACTTGATATTTTTCTATATTGATTTGAAAGAAAACAGTGATGTAAGGTTAGCTTTTGAGGCATTGAAGTATTTGGCTACCTTACTTTGTCATAAAAAATTTGCTATTGAATTTCTCCAGAATCATGGTATTGAAAAGCTAATTGAAGTAAATCGACCATCTATAGCAGCCTCTGGTGTCTCATTATGTTTATATTTCATGTCTTACTTTGAAGATGCTTTAGAACGTGTTTGTTTACGTCCAGAACATATTCTCAGAAATCTAGTGGAATATGCTCTTTGGCTTTTGGAGTGTTCACACGATTCTAGTCGAATTCATGCTGCAATGTTTTTAAGTCAGACTTTTCCATTCAAAGTTATGTTAGATATATTTGACCAACAGAATGGTTTGAGAAGATTATTAAATGCCATCAGCACTTTACAACTTTTGAACATTGAAGCTAATTTTGAGAACACATCTGAAGATTACATTTATACCATGAGACAAACTGCTCGTCATGTTTGTGGTGCTATGAAGAGGTATTTTGAATCCCACATGGTAATGAAAGCTGAAGAAATCAAAAGATCACATGAGAGGAGTGATGACCCTACACCTGCAGCTGAGACTGCTGCTTTTAAGGCTGTTAAAATTTCAGAAGAATCTTTTGAAGAAAATGTGGAAATACTTGGCATGTTTTTCCCTATTAGGTCCCACTGGACACCTGTCATCACTTTCCAGAAGCTGGGTGGAATTCATTTGCTTTTACAATTAGCAGCAATGGCTCCGGAATGGAATTCTTATCCTGGAAAACCTGAAACAGTGAAAGCAGCTCTTGATGTATTGGCAGTGTGTACTGTTACACCTAAGGCTCAGTCAGTTCTATTGGAGTCCATACCTCTACCTAATGAGAATTCATCTCCTGGAATCAGTATTGTAATCAGCATGGCTGAAGGGGAAACGCTTCTTGTTGCTCCAGAAGTTCAAAGATCTGCTCTCATTATTTTAAGCAACTGTGTTTGTGGTCCAATAGAAAGGTTCACCGGTGGTGTTGGAAGATTTATGGGCTCAGGATCGAAAAAGAAATTAAACTCAAAGGCAGGCGAAGATATGTTATCTAAGATGTGGACAGCTGTGCGTACAAATAATGGTGTTATGGCTTTATTAAAACTTTTATCTGTGAAAACTCCTATTACTGATGCTGATGCTATAAGAGCTTTAGCATGTAAGACTCTTGTTGGATTAGCACGTTCTGAGACTTTGCGTCAAATTATCAGTAAACTTCCGATGTTTAATAATGGTCAACTTCAGATGTTAATGAAAGAACCAATTCTTCAGGACAAACGTCCCGAACATATTAAATTTTGTAAATATGCAAGTGAATTGTTGGAGAGAGTGTCGGGTAAACAATCAAAATGTATAAGTGCTTCTTTGGAGGAAATTCGTCGATCAGACATTGTTTCTCAGACTAAAATAATATTCCAGGAAAAGGAACTCTTACAACTAATATGTGGACATTTGGTCTCTAAGGGTTATACTGAATCTGCTAATGCCTTATGCAAAGAAGCAAAATTACCTGCACTTAATCCGTCTCCTGTACTACATATATCAACACCTAGCCTTTTCTCTCCTTCAACATCCAGATTACCAGTAACTCGTCAACATAGTGCTTCTTCCAGTGTATCAGCTCCATCACTATCTGGTCAACCAAGTCCAACTAACTCATCTCAGTCTCTTTGTTCAACTTCAGGTCATATAAAATTCACACTGGGACGTCATTTACAAACTAGCGAATTAAATACACCTAAAACACCTCATGTTCAGTCAAAGGTTAAGACTTTAATAAGAGAAAAGGAAAACCCGCCAACAACATCAACTTCTCCTTGTGTTCGAATGCCAGGAAAATCTTTTAATGACTTTGATATGTCATTGGACAAAATAGTGACTGAATATTTGAGAAAACAGCATGCTTTGTGTCCTAATCCTGTTGTGACATGTCCACCTATGTCATTATTTAGTCCACATCAATGTCCAGAACCAAGAGGTCGAACTACAGCTCCAGCAAATTTCACAATGAGATTGTTAAATAGACCAATATTCCCAAAACATGGTGGGCTAAGGGGTTCAAGGTTTGACAGAAAATTCATTTACAGTAGATTTCGACCTGTCAAAACATATAAAGACAATGATGATGATGGGTTTGCTTGTTGTGCTTTAACACCATGTGAACGATATTTATTATTAGGAACTTTCTCAGGTGAAATCAAAATGTCTAACATTTACACTGAAGAAATGGGTATCTATAACTGCCATTCTTCTCCAGTCATACACATGGATCCGGCTCGTGATGGTAAATTATTACTAACATCAACCTGGGGTACAATGCAAGATTCTTCTTTATGGACATGGACTGATGATACGCTTGAAAATAAGTTTACATTTGACGACACCTATGCTGAATTCAGTAAAATGACTCAAGATAAAATAATTGGTACCAAAGATGAAACAGCTCATGTTTACGATACAGCAACTGGCCAAATTATAGCTACTCTTTATGACCCTAATAAGGTTAACAATTATAAATCAAACATCGCAACATTTAGCCCGTTGGATGACCTCATTCTAAATGATGGTGTCTTGTGGGATGTAAGGGTCAGTAAAGCCATACATAAATTTGATAAATTTAACCCAAGTATAAGTGGCGTGTTTCATCCATCTGGTCTAGAAATTATCATAAACTCTGAAGTTTGGGATGCAAGAACTTTTCACTTACTGAATACTGTACCTACTCTAGACCAGTGTCAAATTCAGTTTAATTATTCAGGAGATGTTATTTATGCCACACATTTTGATGAAGATCCTAATCCTGAAGTTCAACCTTGCAGTCCATATAGTTCCACTCTTCGAACTTTTGATTCTTCAGATTACACTAGTATTGGTACAAAAGACTTAAAAACTAAAAGCATTTTTGATTTGTCAACAGATAAATCAGATTGCCTTTTAGCAGTAGTTGAAAATCAAAAATTTTTAGAAACCAGTGCTGAAGAGAGTATTTGCCGTTTGTATGAGGTTGGTAAAAGAAGAGATGATGAAGAAGATCAAATGGAAGATGAAGAAGTTAAAGTTAATGATGATGATGAAGATGATGATGATGACGATGATGATGATGATGAGGGGGATTTCAACATTGGATCAGATGATGATCTTGGAGATTTGGAATTTGACTTAGAAGATGAAGATGATGTAGAGTATGAAAATGATGAAGAAGAAGATGATGATGATGATAATGGTGATGAAGATCTTGATTTCAATTTACATAATGCTAGTAGTGATGCAGATGATGATGATGCTTTATTTATGGTTGTATAACAATAGGAAGGGACTAGGTACACAACTTTGAATGGTATTGCAAAAGAAAGAAAATATTTTAAAATTGTGTTCAGTTTAATTTTGACCTGTTTCTAATTTATGCTAAGAAATCAATACCACTGTTGACAAAAGTCAATGTTTAAAACAATGTGTAAGCTTACCCTTGAATTACTTGCGTGTTAGATGAAGCATTGACTGGTTGAAATTTTACTGAGCTACAAATGATGCAATGCAACAATTTTCTTAGATCATGGATGACAAGAAGTAACATTTAACTGGAAAAAATTCAAACCTGCATTTCAAATTATATCATCCTGTGAAATCATTTATTTCGGGCTCCAAAGTTTGTGGATTTGACTTCAACATCAAATTTGTGGATCCCATTTTTTTTCCCAAAATTTTTCTTTTTTTTTATTATTTCATCAAAATTCTTGGATTCTACTCCTTGAGTGTTTTATTATTTTATTCTATTTGACTGGACTAATCTTTTTTTTCTTTATTTTTTTTATCAATAATTGTTGAAATTAGTGCTTGTGTATCAATTAACTCACTGTAGTTTTCTATATGAAACCCACAATACTTAAAACCCAGAGAAATCAATGATTACACAGTTTATGTATATATTGAATTGTACTATAATTACTCCTTTACCAAACAGATTGTGTTAATACTTCTGCATTGGTTTGGTTTACACGTTAGTACACATCTGTAACATTCTATCATATTATGTCTTAACTATATAATCAGGATAAGTAGAATGTAAAATCCAATTTTATTTTATCTTGGGCCAGACTGATTTATTTTCTTATTTTACGTTATCTGTAAAGGAAGGAGGGAAACAATTGTGTGAAAGACGGGAAAGAAAGAATTATGTAATGAAAGCCAGGATTGACTTTGAATTTCCTATTTCTCAGATTTGAATTATTAAAAAATCGTATGATTTTTTAGTTTCTGATGATGATTTTTTTCGGATGGGCTTTTTTTGCTGATTTCTGGAATATTAAAGTTGGATGTAAAAACAAGAAAATAAATTTGTCTAGCCAATGCTTTTTGTTTATAACTATACAAATAGATATTCTGACGCTTAAGAATTTTTCTGATCACTTTTTTTGACGTGTTATAATAAATCTATCATGAACTCTAAATACAACAATTCTTTTCAAACACAGGAGAAGATAAAGAAGCTAAAGATATTTCATTCCATCTGAGATTGCATGAAGTTCAAAATAAATTTACTTATATTGTTGAACTCTACTAAATTATCAGTTGTTATCTGTATTGTTGTCAATATTATACATATAAATGCTTTCACTGCCATTGAAATTTAGAGCATGTTGATCTATTGGTCTGCAAGGAAACTATATTTTAACAACCGATTTATTTACGAATTTAAAAATAAAAAATAAAGGGTTTGATGTATACTTTTAATAATTTCAGTGCTTCCAGGAAATAATACACTTGTAGTATACAATTGTATAATTGTTTAATGATTTATGATTATATTTTCATTTCATGGTCTAAACATTTGCTTTATCAGACATGGCTCCATTTCAGGTATTCGTGTAATACTCTTGTAATTATATAGGTGACTATCCCTTTGATGGTCAAGTCATTTGAAATTGATAAATTTTATTAAGAAAAGTCATTGAAATTACAGAGTTTCTTCTTGAAAAAATTGTCCATTTGATGTTTGCACAAATTAATTATTTATGCTTATAAATTTACTTTTGACTTGCTTTACATCACCCATTTCTAGACTTTTTATCTGTATCAGGGAGACTGGTATCAGCGACTTGCACCATTCCAATTTTCAGTCAGACGCCTTTGGTTCTTGAAATTCAACTAAAACCAAGCCTATTCTGCTATAGCAAAGGTCCTTTTATACAGTAAGCAACTTTTGTGATGGTGAACCATAGACGTCTGACTGAGAATTGAAATGATTCAAATAAAAGCCATAATTAATTGGATACATACAAAAAAGCTCTAAAACATATCTACAACCCATTTGTTAAATCAATTTCATGTTAAGAATTTTTGTTTTCCTGTTCTAGTGATCTGAAACTCAAAATCAAACCAGAAATCCAATTAGTTAGGCAATACATTGGTAGCAGCTAATGGGTTTGTGAGATTTTGTTATTTTGATCAAACAGTTGGTAATAAGACCTTTAGCATTTTCTTTACACCATATAATTTGTTATATAAGCCCATGATTGGTCAAAGTGTAAACGAATTGCATATTTGTGAAGAGTAATTTGTTAATATACAAATTATAAATGTATGTATGGTTAAACTTGTTATAAAGTTTATTTATTAACATTACAAAGTTTTGCTATATTTATTCCCATCATCCATGTCAGTCAGTTCTTATGAATACTTTAAAATGTATATTTCGATCAAGAATGCTGAAACTGATCTTAAAGAAGCGTTTTGAAAAATCCTGCATTTCAAATCTACTTCATTATGCTGCATATGGCCAGTTTAAAGAGACATTCTTTTGGACAAATCATACTTAAGTCTCAGAAATGGGAATTTTTAGCTAAGCCAATCAGTAATAGTGTTTACAAGTTACCATCGACAGTTGAGCCTTTAAATCCATATGTGTGCGGAATTATGATTCGTCGTTATAAGATAGTCTGTGATATATATAAACAGTGAGTAAAATTCCTAGTTTGAAGTATTTTGAAATAAAATATGCAAGTTTTGTACAGTCTGAAGACTATATACTCTATTCAAGACCCCCTACTTAATTTAGTTAGTAGGCATGATAGAGGCTAAAGTTTTTACAGGTAATAATTGGATGAACATTTTCAGAGTTATTTCCCTTGTGTGTATGTTGTTGAGACCTTGTTGATAATAATTTGATTAACTGTTTTTGAGGTTTTGCCTTAACTTAAAAATATTTTTAAGATTATTTGAAAATTCATAATTAAGACACTAAAGATTTTATTATTTCTGACAGCTGGTAGTGGACGTATGTTACCTTGCCTGGCAAGCTATCTTTTTTTTAAGTAATTTGTTAACATAAAAAAAGAAATAAAGATATATATTTTATTTATGATGTTTGTATAAATTAATTTGTACAAAAATAGAAAACAAATATAAACTTTATAAATCAAATAACATAGAGTAATATGAAAATTAATTGTGAGATTATTCATTTTCCAGATCTAAATTTTATTTCATTATGGCTTGTTTCTAAATGAATGTCTGATATATTAAAAATTGATGAATACAAGTCAGACAATAAGTCAATATGATAATAGTACTAGTTAAATCTATTCTACTTTTCCACATCTGAAATTCCTCCAAAGCATCATGTAAGCTCATTCTCATTACCATATATATTTTATAAAATATTAAAGGGATAGATGCGTCATTTTTTTACCAATAATACTGTAGTCTCAGAAACAGGATTTTTTTTAGCTAAGCCAATTAGTGGTAGTGTTCACAGCTCGCTGACGAAATTTGAGCCTTCAAATTCATGTGTGTCCAGAATTATCCACGTTTGAAAGTTTAAAAGACGAGTCGTCTTTTCTTGAGACACTGTCATATACAGAAAAGACATCCATAGAAATAGGAAAAGAATTTCAAAGTTTGACATATATTTACTTTAGTACATCTGAAAACTATTTACAAAACATTAAAGACTAATCAACCCACCAAAATGGCACACCTATCCCTTTAAACAGATTGTAGAGATTTTCTGCATTTTGAAATGCCCACAAGAACAGGGGTGTGTATATTGGCATCACTATGTCCGTCCGTCCACTCTAGAAGGCACAATTCTTGACAGATTTTCACAAAATCTGGTGTGAGTGTTTGTAATCACCCAAGGTTGAACCCTAATGAAAATCAGAAAAATCGAAAAAGTTATTGGCCTTTTTCTTGAAAATGTGTTCAATTTTTACTTAGCTAGAAAAAAAACTCTACAAGGCACAATGCTTGATGGACCTTGATGAGACTTGGTGTGAGTGTTCGCCAAAAGATGAACCCTGTCGAAAATAAAAGATATTGAAAAATATTCAATATGATTTTTTGCCAACGTTCTTGGAAACACATTCAATTTTTTTTTTTAACATTTCATGCCGGTGATTGTAACTGCACTGCCAAATATTTTTTATTCAAAATCAAAAATGCCATGCAAGCTATCTTTTATATGCATCAGGAACATTGATAGCATTGATTTGCACCATTCCAATTTACACATAATTTTTTTTTAGAAAACACTTCTTTACAATCTATAATAATAATAATAACAATAATAATAATACAATAACCATAAAGATGAAGTAACAGTAATGGTTTATTGTACTATGAAAAATAAACAAAATCATGAACTTAATAAAATATGCAACAGTCAAAATAATCCTACATAAATAAACTACATTAAAGAAGAAAAACAAATTTTGTTCAGTCCTTTGAGTGAACATACATACAACTCTACTTAAACATCTTAACAGTTTTATAAAATGGAAATTTTATTTACAGTAAAGCACAAACTTCACAAAGTTATTTTTTTCACCCAAAGGCGACAATATGAAAATGGCTATAAAATTTGTCCTAGGGCTTTTCACATCATTATAGACTATAAATACGAATCGTAATTATGAACAATGTTAGATAATTTCTGCCTCTGCCATTTTGTACCTATCACCTATTGAAGGAAGAATTCCTCCTAGGCTACATGTGATCAGCTGTTAATATTTCCTGGTAATTTTAATGGACGTGATCTGGTGAAAAAGACCAACTCACCTGCCGTAAAGCATAACACATGAAATTTATCTAATTAAAGTCTTCCAATGGAACAAAATATATCTTTTATTACTTAGTGGGGCATTCCGCTTTGGAAAACATTTTCATTATCAAAAATGTAAATCATACATGGAAATATTTCTAAAGTATGCTATTTATATCTACATGATTAAACTGAATTTGTTTTAAAAGGGTTAATAAAAAACGGACAGTACTAATTGTTAATAGGTTTGGTGTTTGGCTGTATAATTGCTAGATATTACGAGTTGCAACCATTAGAATACGTAGGAGACATGTTATTCAGGCGTTTATTTTACTTAAATCTGTACATTAGTTTTCTTACAGCTTCCAAAAAGCATAACAAACTTTTAAAGGTTACGTAAACTAACAATAACTTTTTGAACAGTTACGGCTTGATTTTTTTAATTAAAACTTTCAGATTCGATGAGGGACACAAAATTTAAGCAAAATTTTTTTTCCACCTACAAAAATAGGAAAATGTCCCTTTAGAGGTAATCAATTCAATCAAAGGTTCATTAAACAAATTTGGGGAGATGCTTGCTCGCTAGCCTGAAGGTACAGGGTTCAATCCCGACATAGGTCAAGATGATACCATTGGAATTTCAATCCCATTTCCCTCTTATCAGTGATGCAGGTAAGAGAGGCTGACATGGAAAAAGCATGTAGTCGATCAGATGGGACAATAAACCAAAGCCCAGTGTGCTAAGTTTAAATGAAGTGTTGACATAGATCTTATTTTTTTTACACATTTATGAAATTTGTTGCCAGATTAAATATGTCATAAATTTCAGGACATAAGCACTCGTTTAAGATCCTCTAAGAATTGATGATTATCTTTCTCTATTGAGCAGTGAAAATTCAATTACACAAGTACAAACTAACAATTTATAGTTGATTGTAGGCAAATCACATGATATTCAACTTAAAATATAGCAGATCATTGATCAACTAATACAAACACAGACCAACAATTGTATCTCTTAAGGTCCCAATTCTAGAACACAAATCTAAATACCTGGTTTTTATCTTTTATATACAAAACTTTATTATTAGGGATATGATTTTGATTATATAACACAATGGAACTCTTACTAACCAGCTTTCAGATCATCCACCTTTAAAATCTTCAGCTAGTTTTCTTAAGAGATTCAAAAGTACTTCTCGTTGAGCTTGTGATGCTATAAATCTGGTCAATGCTTCAATACTGGTACTTCCTACCAACTCTTGTACCTTAGCTACCAACTCAGCTCTCTCTCTTTTAGAAAGATTCTTCAGTGTCCTTACTAATGATTGATAAGGGTCAACTCTACAATAGCCTACTACAGATCCTGAAAAGATTAAATTAAATCAGGTGTGGTCTAAATACTAGTCTTTTCAAATATCTATAGAATCTTTCTAATAAAGGATAGAATACATTGGTTACCCTGGTACCCATGTTCATTGTTTGGGTTTTGTCCTGTTGGAATTATTTGGTCAATTCATATGAACAGCCTACTATTTGACTTAAAATAGTGTGTACATTATATTGCATGTGAACCTTGGTTTATTTACCCTTCAAAGGAAGTTTTTAGACTTCTACCCAAAATTTTGTTCACCAGCAGTCATCAGAATAAACACACCATATAGCTAAGTGGACCTTCAAAGATGACAGCATACATCCACAGCAATAGTTTAATATCTAAATTATTAAGATAATCCCCTTTAATTCTTACCTACAATTCCTCCTACCATAGCTCCAGGCGGTCCAGCCACAATTCCCCCAACAACAGTTCCACCACCAGCCCAACACAACTGCGTTGCAATTCCTATTTTAAAAAAAAACAAGCTTCTAGTAGTGTGTAAATGATAATAAATTTTTTACTACCTCGTTTTTGAGAAACTGAAAGCGAGGTTCAAATTACGCCATCCATGAATGGCATTAAATACTCGCTCAACAGCAAGAAAATGGGCTTAAAACTGCCCTTTCTAAAAATGTGTAAAGGTAAACTTCATCTGATAAATTCATTACATAGTGTAATCAATTCTGATTTTAATGATGTAAAATATTATTAGTTTTGAGCTAGTGGGGTTGGAGAAGAGGGCCAAGGTGGCAATTTCACTGCAGTCTGCAGTACACAATGTTACCTTTGTTTGTTTACGTTATAAGCCTTGTTTTCGATTCAAAATCACAGCTTACCCCTTGCTGTTTTCTTCAACTCGGCATTTGTTTCCAATAATTCTATTAGATGATTGTAGTAAGGGACAAAAGCCATTCCTAAAACACCGGCCATTTTATTACCACCAGACTTGTAAACTCTGTATCACAATAAATTACCTGTAGAATAAAGATAATTGAGACATCACTAATCGTGTGTTGTGCAGCCCGTAACTAGGCGTCCCCTCACCCCCAAAATTCAAACAGATTCTAAATTGAAGCTGAAATCAGTCTCAATCAGCTATTGCCCCCCATGCAAATGTGGCCTCCCCCTTTGGCACATTGGTCTGGTTACGGGCCTGGGGTCGTGATAAAGAATTATTTGCAATTAGGCATCACACATTTAATGCAGGAACCACAGGCGTCTGATTGAAAATCGCATTGGTGCAAACCGTTGCTATCAGTGTCCCTGATACAAATGAAAAATGTGGAATTAACCTCTTTAAACCTATTTAAATAATCAGACTGCCAATAGGCCTAATCAGACTTGGAAATATTAGATGTTGGCTACCAACGAAAGTCAGTAAGACTCTATTTCTACAACTATTTAGCCCTTTGCCTTACCTTATAAGTTATAGATACAATATGATTCAAACAACATTAAAGATAGCTAGGTAACATACGCCAATAAGAACAGTCTTTAGTGACTTATATGAATTTTATTATTTTTAAGATCTTCATAATACATTGTAGTTATTTATTATATTTATTCCAATTCTTTTTTTAAATCAATAGCAATGACCCAAATGAAAAATCATTGTATAAGAACTTCACTAAATTCTAATCAATTTAAATGATCACATTAAATTTTAACATAATCCGATGAAGGCAATACGGCAAAAACAAAAAAATTGAATCGAATAAATTTGATTCAGTCCAACATCTAATCAATATATCTGATCACCAAGATTAATTAAAATCAATTGGAAACTGTAGTATCTATTGTGTTCACAAACAAAGTTTAAAATATTTTTCCTTAGTCAAGGGCAATAACTAAAAAATCATTCATCAAAAATTCTTCAAATTCGAACTTGACCAAGATCTAATGAAGACAAATCATCACACCAAATTTTGTTAAAATCAAATGAAAACAAATTTTGACGTGTTGTTATTAAGTCAAGGGCAATAATTCAAAAAAACTTTTGAACATCGAAGATCTCATGAATATAACTCATCACACCAAATTTCATTCAAATCGAATGAAAACTGTAGTCTCTATTGAGCTCACAAACAATTTGGACGAATATTTATACAAAGGCAATAATTCAAAACTTTCATTGAAAAATCGTCAAATTCGAACTTGATCGAACCAAGATCTCATGACTGAAAATTCCCTCAGGCTCTGTAAAATCATGTTTACGAATAATTACTATTCCAGTGGTTGACATTTTCAGCCACCCAAAGAGAATCAAAAACTCTCAGTATTTTGTAATTGATATTTCAGTTCATATGAAAATTATTGGCAAAATTCAATTCAGAAATCATTGTAGTGTAGTTAGACAGTAATGTAGTGTAGTCAGACAGTAATGTAGTCTAGTCTGTGATTCTGTCGTGTATTTGTAAACATTGAATGTGGTAGGACACAACCACTAGGTGGTTTATTTTTTTTACACCTAATAATAACTTACTAAGGAACTATTTCATACCGTACTAATTATCCTTACGGATTCGTAGTATCGTAGTAAACTTAAATGAAATTTAAATGCAGAAAAGTAGGACGTAAAACTCCATTCATTTCATTTCATTTAAATGAAATTTATTGATGCAAGGGAGATAACTGTATTAGGGTGCGACTTAAACTTCACCTTCACCTACAATTGTCGCATACGAACAACGTATAGGGGAGATCGGGGCTAGTTGTAACAAGGATAAGTTATAAAAAGGCCAAACTCTACAGTTCCACGTAGTTATATCCTCATAAATGATGGTGTGGCTATAAGGATCTCTGAAGAAAGTGGACTTGCGACAATAATTCAGCTGTAAATGACGCAAAACATGTTTATCAAACATAATTTTAAGTCAAACACCCATACTAAAAAAATTTCAATTTTTCTGATTTTCTATAGGGTTCATCCTTTGGTGATTACAAACACTCACACCAAGTTTTGTCAAAATCTGTCAATAATTCAACCTATTAGAGCGTTTACGAGTTAAATATTGAACGCGTTTTCAAGAACGAGAGCAGTACGGTAACTCATATTTCGATTTTTTTGATTTTCAATAGGGTTCATCCTTTGGTGATAGCAAACACTCACAAAAGTTTCATCAAAATCCGCCACGAATTGCATTATCTAGAGTGTTTACGAGCATTTTAAGAGCAAGGTCAATAATTCATACGAAATATTTTTCAATTTTTCTAATTCTCAAATGGGTTCATCCTTGGGTGATTACTAACACTCACACCAAGTTTCGTAAAAATCTGTCAATAATTCAACCTTTTAGAGCGTTTACGAGCTAAAAATTGAACGCATTTTTCAAGAACAAGGGGAATAACTCATACTAAATATTTGTTGACAATCAAAGAATCTCAATAAACGAGATTGTATTATTACAAAGAATCACGCCAACATAGGTTATCGCAGTGTGCTTGGACATTTAAAAAGTAAAGGTCACCAAGAATGACGTAGCAATGCTGAATATTCAATAGGGTCGCGACCTTGGTAATTTGCATAAAAGATAATTCATTTGAGATAAAACAGAAGACATAATACACTAAAGAAGTTGCACTTATCATTTTACTACAAACATTTTCCAATTTAGAAATGACACTTTACAGTTTAAAATATACTTCTGATATTTATCAAAAAGGACGGTGGTTTACCATTAAAGATTTTTGGAAGATGCTAAATAAACTATTTGAAATGACTTTAGTTAAGTTACATGTGAATATAAACATTTTATTTTAGCATTTCAATCATCATGTTGTTTGAATTATAAGTAATAGGTAATAAGATATTTTATATTTGTCTTTGAATCAGTAAATTAGACAAATCGGTAGAGAATGGATTAATGGCGCAAATTGACCTCCATAATGTAGAACACTCAGAGCCTCATTGATTTTGAAAACTTGTGGATTATTCTTGTCTTCTTTATGAGATAAGTTCCAAACCTTAATATAGTGTAGGTTTTGCCCCTTAATACATTTGATCAATTACAAGTGGGAGTAATGTATATTCGAAAATTGATTGTTCTTAAACCTATAACTGATATTAGTCAGACTGTTTAACCTCTCAAGTGAAAATGCACATAAATATAGAAGTATAGTAGTCTACTCTCAAGGTAGGCTCTGCCGACAATATGTCTCCTATTATCGGATGATAAAAATAAAATTGTGTCTCGTTCATTTGGACAATATGGAAGATATTAGGCCTAAACGTTTTGCTATGTTTCAGTAGGCCTACACAGAGACTTTTAATACTGTAAAAAAAAAAAATCCAGTTTTTTGACAGTTTAAACAAATTGTAAATTCACGTTTAATTTTTTTATTATTTACACAATGATGATATGATAAGAAGTTTGTTTTGTTTGTTGTGGCACGTGCTTGGGGGTGGACCTGCAGTAATAATCTGTGGAACTCTTAGTCACTCCCCTTTCTCTACACATTTATATAGAAAGGCGTTCTATTACGGATTAAACCAGTTAAGTTGTGTCCCATGCTTTTATATCAAACATTTATCATAGATAGTCTTGGGTGCTCGGTCGACTCGGAGACATGTCATCTTCGGAGACAAATTTTTGTTGGTGAACTTGGTGGCAAAATACAACTCGTCCAAAGTTTTCTTCAAATACTTGTAGAGCTTCATTCTGGTGTCCTAAGTAGTATGAATTCAATCATATGATCATTCGTAGAAGCAGGGATGAAACTCAATTCCAGAAGGCATAAAAAGAGAAGTATCCCAAATTCAGGTCCCGAATGTAAGTTGTAGCCTAGGTAAGGAAGAAACTCAAATTCGGGTCCCGAATATAAGTAATAGGCAGAAGAAACATTCAAATTCAGGTCTCGAATGTAGGTTAAAAGTAAGAAAGAAACTCAAATTCAGGTCCCGAATGCGAGTGTTAGGTAAGAAAAAAACATAAAAATTCATATCCCAAGACTTTTGAAAAAGAAAGCTCAATGCCAAATTTCCACATTGGAAACTTCATGACTACGTCCGTTTTCAATAGCCAAATCTGGCACACGTAACACTCAGTAAATATGGACAAAATGAACTATATTATTAATTATAGTATTAACAAACAACTTTTTATGACAAACAGCATTTTATAATATAATAATAGAGTTTGCGATGATTTCATTCTTCCCTGTCCGTGATCTTTTAGCAGCTCTGAATTATTCTTTGATTTCAACTTATCCAGATGTTATCCAAATCATGTTGTATGTCGTTTTGTTTAGTATTTTTTTCAGTCCATTGAGAAGTTGTTAGAGATCCACAAGACATATACTGACTGTTTTCTGAATATACACAATTTTTTACATTGTCCGATGAATGCATGATATATTCTGTTTCATCTTGACCCGAATCTGACGATTTATCTTCACGTTTAGGACGATTGCAATTTGCTTTGTTAAGTTGTGCTGACTGATATTTAACTGTTCTTATTGTCTGCGAACTGCCACTGAAATCGTTCTTATTTTGAATCACTGGGTTACACATAGCCCAAAAATCGACATCAAATTGCTGCTTTCCAGATAACACATCTTCAAGTTGACGAATATATCGAATAGTCTTTTTCAAAACATCAAGTTTACTCATTTTGTTAGTTTGCCAATCTTCTGGTAGTTTAGTCTGTAACTTTTTAAATTGTGTTTTCATGTGACTTATCCGATTTCGTTCTCTTGCATTACGACGTTCCATAGCCTTGCTAGTACATTTTTCTTTTCCTATATGTCCGTTTCCAGTCGCCATTTGAAAATAAATAGCAAGTGACCTTGTTGTATCCATGTTGATGTATTAGCTTATGTTGAAGTGAATTATGTGAGATTTTAGTTCATCTATTTATCTGACATGCATATTGACAGTTTGGCAGAAATCGTTTTTGAACGATCTTTGGCGGGAATTTTGAAAACTGTTAAAAACATTAATCAATAGTCAATGAAATTGGTAAAGTTTATAATGGCGCCAATAATTCGTCTGTATATTATGTTGTTTATAACGGTTAAAAATTTTGTAATAAGAGAATAATAAGATAATATTATGATAATGATGGGTAAATAGATGTTAAGTAAATAATTTTTAATATTGATATTGATAGTAACTGTACCGCCTTTGATGTTAATTGACTTACAAGTGGAGGACTAATTATCTGTTTCTAACCTGTTTCACTGTTTTCCCACTGTCCATTTGTATATTGAATTTATTGAGTTAATAATTATATGCTAACAAATTTACAATGTCGAACAGAATAGCCTATTCCTCAATGTTTTTTTTATTAAATTTTTTATACAGATTTGACGGAAATATCTCTACCGGAAACAATCCTGGTTCTAATTTCAATCGGATCTTGTCATATTATGACATCTTTACTGGGTATTCACAGCGTATATTTTGTATATTGAGTGATAAAAACAAAAGTTATAGGTAGAAGGGAATTTCAAATTAAGGCTTCGAATGTGAGTTGAAGGTAAAAAAAAACCCTGATATTTTGGACAATATATGAGTGACATAGAAATAAAAACCAAAAGTTTAATTACCAGGGTAATATCGTTGTAGGCATATACATCATTTTTATAAACGAATTTATTAGTCTATAGGACAGGACAAACAAAATAATGACGTTTCAGGTGAAGTAAGTGGTAAATTCCATGTTACAGATTTTCTTTTACTGTTACGCGATTCGATCTGTTAGCATTAAATAAAAAGAATATTATTATATAAGGTGTTACAATAAAACGTATGTGATCAGCCAACAATAGTTTGGAAATTCCAATTTTACAATTACTTAATATGCAAGTATTTATTGTATTATTATATAATATGAATACGAATTTACTATCTAGCCTATCTAGCACAAACCAACCAGCCGACCAAACTTCTGTTGAACATGATTAGCACATTCCCAGGGCAACCCGCAAGTTGTCGTTTTCCGTTTGGAATGTTTATGGTCTCAAGTCTCTGATAAATGACAATTCTTTCGTCAACTATATCAGCAAATATGGTGTTCTCCTCTTATCCGAAACATGGGTGAAAAACGAAGACCGGTTGTCTTTAAAAGGTTTCCTACCAGGAATTTTTATTAATCGGGGTGAAAAGTATCAAACTTTTAAGAGAAATGCCATATGTGGCGGACTGGCAGTTTTCATCAGTAGTTCTGTTGCAGAAAATATTGCAGTTATACATGAAGAATCGTGGGGTTCTTCTGAAAATGACTCTGACAATAACTTATTTATTATATTTACCTACATTCCACCAAAACCTAGCTCATTCCACGGTTTTTGTGATTTTGATTTGTTTGTAAATAGGAGCAAATATGTTTAACCTACCAAAAGCTCGGTAATATAATTGTATGTGGTGACTTCAATAGTAGAACTAGATCGGATTCGGATCAAATTAAAGACGACAATTTAGCGAACTATATTTTTAGTGATTATGACTTTTCTTCATATTCATCGGTCAACTTTAATAGAGTTTCACAAGATTCCGTTATCAATAATTTTGGTAAGAAGCTTTTAGATTTATGTAAGTCCATAGAATGTGTCATTGTGAACGGTAGGGTTGGCGATGATAAAGGGGTAGGCAAATTTACATTTTGTTCATCTAGAGGCACGAGCCTATTTGACTATGTTTTATCTGACTCTAAGGCAATCAAAAAATTACACATTTTAAAGTAGAAGACGTTAACGAATGTTCTGATCATTGTGCTTTGTTATTCACAATTAATTTTGGCCATCTAGATGTTGTAACAAACAGATTGAATAATATCAACCAGGGTAAAAATATTACTACATGTAAGTGGGACGAGTCATATTCTTACCCTACGAGATATGTGGATAATTACAGGGGTATATCGGTTATGAATGTCTTTGCAAAATTGTTTCCGACTATTTTAAATTCAAGACTAACTTGGTGGTGTGAATCAAACGAGTTACTTGACAATTGTCAATTTGGATTTAGGGCTTCAAGAAGTACTGTTGATGCCATTTTCTTATTAGATAGTATCATATCTATATGCCTGAACAACAAACAAAAATTAGTCTGTGCATTCGTTGAGGAAAGCTTTTGATTCTGTAGATAGACAACTGTTATTATTTAAGTTAAATTCAATAGGTGTTAGTAGTAAGCTGCTTAAAATCATAAAGTCGATGTATGAACGTGTTAATTCTATTATTAAATTTAAAGGTTCTTTGTCAGATTATTTAGCAGCAGGTTAGATGTTAAACAGGGAGAACCACTTTCGCCTCTATTATTTTTGATATTTATTAACGATCTTCGAGATTTTCTTACTGCCGACAACCCTGATTTTGTTCAAATAGGTAATGCCTTGGTTTATTTGTTGTTATTTGCTGATGATACAGTCTTGTTTGCAACGAGTCCTTTACTACTACAACTACTATTGGACAAATTTAGTGAATATTGTCGTATCTGGCATCTCTCAATTAATGTTCTCAAATCCAAGATAGTAATTTTTCATCGTGGCAAGCGTACTAATAACTACTTATTTAACATAAATTCAGCTCCTATTGAAATAGTTAATGAATGTGTGTATCTTGGTTTACTTATGTGTCAAAATGGCCGGTTCTATCGTTCCCAAAAACGTTTGGCATCTCAAGTTAGAAAGGCTCTAGGCTCCTTACTTTTCAAAATAAAACCTCTCCATTTAAATATATCAAATATAAGTATGTTGTTTAAATCGATGGTTGAACCTATTCTCTGTTATGTATCCGAAGTGTGGGGTTTTATTTCAAGTAAAGCTGTTGATGTTGTTCAGAACGATTTTATAAGATCGACCCTTCATCTTGGAAAGGCTACACCACTATCCGCTGCACTCGGTGAATTAGGACTATTGCCATTATCTGTAAAACTTAAGCTCAACCCTGTTAAATACTGATTTAAAATTGTATGTTCTGAAAATCCAATAATTTCTGGGGATGCTAAAGGTAAACTAAACTGGGTTTCTTTCATTAGAAAATTGTTTGACGAATTATGTTTTACTTATATATTTTCACAGCCCCAACTTTTTAATTCTACAGAAATCAAAACACGTATTGTAGATCAGTATTACCAGACCTGGTCGTCTAACCTCGAAGCTTCAAGTAAACTTAGATTTTATAAAAATTTTAAAACCTCCTTTAACTTTGAAGAATATCTTGATTCCAGTTTAGACGACAAATTTAAGTTTTTAATTTGTAAGTTTAGAGTTGGTAATCTCAAACTCCAAGTCGAAATCGGTCGGTATAATAAAACTCCATGAGTAAAACGATTTTGTTTATGTTGTAAATCAATATATATTGAAGATCAATACCACTTTCTTCTCTGTTGTCCAATGTATTCTTCTCTTCGCCGTCTATACTTTCCCCGATATTTCTGGTCATTCCCGTCCTTAAGTAAAATGAATATGTTATTAAATCCAAGGTCATTTCGAAATTTAAAAAATTTAGGCAATTATATATTTCAGGCTTATAAGTTACGAAATCAGCTTTTATCTTAGATCTGTAAAATCTTGATATTTAAAGATTTATATATTTTGATTGTTTTCCTTAATTTATTTACAAGGTGTTACTAGCATTGAAAAATTAATTTATTTATTTTACTTATTGTGTGTTAATGTTGATTAGTTTTATTGTATATTGTTTACAACTCTTCGGCAATAGCAAATATTTGCTACGCTTATTAATAAAATAAAAATAAAAATATATTATCTGATGAATTATATTCATAGGTAACAATACCAACAATTATAGAAAGATCCCTTGCAGAATTCTGAAAATCACGATTAAGCTTCTCCTGATTCCTGATCGTATAGATATACATGACTTTATTGGAAACCTATAGGAAATACCAGTGTAAATGATGCATTCCTGAAAGTACTACAGGTTTCATGAGTTGAAATGTCAACTCATGGTAATGTTAAAAATTTGTAGATACTTATGCGTTCATATTCACGTTTTACACTTAAATGAGGGGCAATAGGCTAATTTAAATCAAAATCACCCTGTTTATCACTTTCATGAAATTCAATTTTCGCCTATTGGTTTTAATATAATCAAGGGCAATGTCTATAAAACAGTTTGAACAAAAACCACTCGAAACTCGTACAATATCAAATCTTAATCATCATGCAAAGTTTGGTCAATTGTAAACTGAGGCTACTATTGTGCAGATAAACTCAAATAACTAAATCTTCTATCTAAATGAACATGCAAAATGTGCACAGAACAATAGATGTGGGATGAAGTTCATGCATACAAGCCTTTCGGCCAAAGTACAAAATATATAAAATTTTTACAATAATATAAAGTATCGTTAGGTTGATAAATAAATAAATATATTTAACAAACAAAGCAAATAAATATTTGTCATGTATTTACAATTAAGTTTTATATACAATTTTCCTTCTTTTCCAAGCATAATAGATATATCATTTTCTTCTTTCCCTAATGTACATAGTTTACAAATATTTTCATTTAGACGATTTGACCATTTACACTCTACAGACTTGAACAAATAACTACCACATCGAAATTTACATAAGGCATGTTTAAATTTATTTGCAATACTATAATATGATAAATATCTTTCTGTATCTAACAAGGTCTTATATTTACAATAATTTTGAAGTCGTGAATTATTTACAATAGATCAGTTCCATTCCTGATAGCTATAATCTTTAATTCGTTGTTTGAAATTATGTATAAATATATATTTTGTCTCCGACATCTTGCGATATCCAAACATAGCCAAAACCATGTTCAAAGAGCATAGTTTTAACGTTGCTTACCCAAGATTTTCTGCCGGCGTTATCCAGACTTAACAAGATGTCGTAAGTTTGTTTTGGTAGTCTATGTTCTGGCATTTGTATTAGCCTAATCCAATATTTTACACATTTTAGGGAATACTGAACATAGAGTAGATATCTCCCTATCTCTCCTAATACCGCCATATTACAAGCATATTTAGAGATTCTTAGAGTATATTTAAAATATTTAATCTGGACATTTTCGATTTTAGGGCTCAATGTATGGCCCCACATTTCTGATCCATAAAGAAGTATAGGAACTAACATCTTATCAAAAATTTGAAATGCAGTATCAACAGAAATACCATTACATTTTCTTGAAATAGCCTTGATCATATTAAAAACCTTTTCTGTCTGTGTTATTTGTATTTCTTTTGATTTCGTCCAACTTAATACAGGTGAAAAACTACACCGAGATATTTGTAATATGATACAGTTTCTAATTCTATATTTTTGTATTTCCACTTTTCGTAATTACGAAGAGGGCCACCGTTTCGAATTACTATTATTTTTGTTTTTGTCGTGTTTATAGACATGCTATATTTTGCACAAAAGTTGTCTAAACAATTTAGCTGGAGCTGCAAATTATATACTGTATCTGCTTTATTACTGATATCATCGGCGAACAGTAAGGAAAACGTATTTGGGAAGTTTTCTGAAAGGAATACTCCCTTACAATTTAGTGATTCTAATTCACTTACATATTGCTTTATAAATATTGAAAACAAAAGGGGACTTAACATGCACCCTTGGCGAGTTCCTGTTTTACAGTCAAAGAAGTCGGTTAAACCATCTGAGGTTAGCACAGATGATTTATTTTTCGAATTAATATTGTGTATAATCTTCAGAAAATTACCATGGATTCCAGACTTAATTAGAACTGACCAAAGGAGATCATGTTGAACGGCATCGAAGGCGATTTTGAAATCGACGAAGAGACAATATAAACGTCCACCTTTCTTAGAAATATATTTGCTGACAAAACCTTGGAGTGTAAAAATATGATCTATGGTGGAATAGCCATTTCGAAAACCAGACTGATTTTCACTTATAATATTGTTATTTTCACACCATAGTCGTAGTATTTCATTTAAGACTTTCATAAAGATTTTGTTAAAAGATGGCCACAAGGATATTCCCCGGAAATTACTAGCAATACATGTATCGCCCCTTTTAAAAATTGGACATATAACAGCTTTTGCCAAGTCCGTGGGAAAATTACCAGAAGTCAATATTTCGTTAAATAATTTACAGAGCACTGGAGTTAAAGTCACGTGGCCAGTTTTAAACATTTCATTGCAAATCCCATCTAAGCCCGGGGCCTTATTAATTTTTATGCCTGCAATGGCATTTGATACCTCGTTTCCAGTAATATTGGCATCTAAATCTTCTGGCAAGTTATCATTACAATCGATACACATATAGTCATCATGTTGATAAAGAACATTATACAATTCACTGTCTGTATTTGGATTTTCTATATTAAGAAGTTCACTGAAATGCGCTACCCAGTCGTCTGGATGTATACGTGTATCCAATGTTGGTTTATTAAACATTGATTTCAGATTTAACCAGAAATCTTTTGGGTTTCCTAAGTTACTTTGAAGTTTTTTGTGTAAGTGTTCGCCATAATTTTCTTTTTTCTTCTGGCACAGATGTTTAAAACTATTTTTTTGAAATTTATAGGAGCATAGGTCCGATTCACTTTTTGTTTTGACGTGTTTATTAAGAAGTAGATATTTCAGTTCTTTAGAATCTTGACATGATTTGTCCCACCATGGTTCCTGTTGCAACACTTTCTTCCGGCGTGAAGAGTTTTTGAGCATTGGCTCTGCAGCCCGCCCCAGTACCATATTTAGTTTTTCTATGGATTCATCAAAGTCACATGGTTTTTCACTACATAGGTCACTTAATATTTCCTGTGCGTATGGGTCCGAAATTTTACTTAGGTAATGGGCTTTAAAGTCGTTATTCCATTGATATTTAAAACTATTTGCGAGATTTGGACACCGTACATAGTTCTGATTACTTATTATGTTCACTCTTAGATCACATTCGATATTGAAGTGGTCGGAATCGTCAATATGACCACTTTAAAATCTGTAATGTGTGGGAACAGGTCTGAAGAAACCGCTATATATAGTCCACTACGCTACGTCCACCGTTAGCTGTACAAGTGAAGTTTCCATTTATATCGCCATTTTTCCTACCATTTAAGATATGTACACCAAATAATTTACACATGTTGATAAGTTTTCTTCCAAAATTGTTTTCTATTGCGTCTAGATTATTTCTGGGTAGTTCAAATTTGTCGACATTGTAAACATTTTCCAGCTGAGGTAAATGGTTGACCGAATCGCTCACAGCATAGTCCGGTATGGTACCAGTTCTGGCGTTAAAATCCCCAGCTAGAATTAAGTTTGCGTCTGGATAGTCTGCTTGTGCCACACTAAGGATATTTTCTAAAATATCCAAGGTAGATGTAGGATTTCCCAAATAATAGTTTGATCCTTCTGGTGAAACATATGTAAATACGAGGATAACATTTTTTTTCCCCCAAAAAAGTTTTTATCGAGCAATAGTAGAACCATATCATTTGATTATTTAAATATTCGTTTTACACCATTTTTGATTAGATTCGAAACAAATACGATAATTCCACCATGTTTGCGTTTTGTTCTACATGTAATAAAAGTCTTATGCGAGAGCAAAAATGAATTTATCTCGTTTTGTTCTTTATATACCCATGTTTCCGTTAGTCCTGCAATGTCATATTTAGATAAGATATATTGAAGGTTTTTATTGTCAGTATGTCTAAAGAAGCTCTGACAATTCCATGCTAAGATTGAAACTGTCCGTTTTGAGGAAAATTCCCTATTTATTTGCTATTTATTTGAACACACTAAAAGATTATTTGATTGTATGTCGATACTGTATTTTTGATTTTCAATGTATAATTTGTCATATCGTATGAATGATTTTTTATTTTCTGATTTGGCTTTTCTCATATGGGGAACAAGGGCTTTTCTTATCTTTCGAATCCTTTCTGTGTGGTCATGAGATGCACTTATTTGTAAATTCGTTTTTTTTTTTATTCTTGTCTTCTTTCACTCAATACTAGCTATTTAACTTTTAATCTGGTGAAAGAAACTAGTATGGGCCGGGGTCTGGTTGGATTTGTTTTTCTCGTTCCAATTCGATGCACCCACCCGTTCAATACCAATGATTTTGTCGTCAACGGAATCTTTAATATTAAGAGCAGTTTTCAGTAGATCTCTTATTGTTACTTCACAGTCCTCCGTATTATTTTGAGATTCGTTCACCTCATAGAAAATAACATTGTTTTGTCTTAATCTATTTTCTTTGTCATCTATCTCTGTCTGTAAATCTCTATCTGCACCCTTTAGACACTGAATATCTTCCCTAATTTTGACCAGTTCATCTTTAATATTGAGTTCTTTCATCTCCGTTCTCAGATCTAAAACTTCATTTCTTAAAGTCGATATATCTGCTCTAAGAGATTGCATTAACGCTGTCAATTCCCCGAGACCTGGGACACTGGGATTGTCTTCTGTATTAGATGTGGGATAAACTAGCTGGCCTGAGCTTGATAGTTGGCTTTGTCTTGTTAAAGGGCCCGGATTTACTTCTACATCACCTGACAGTACCAATAATATAGCTATAACCAAAATTGTAGAAATAGTCAGACTACCTGTTGATATAGTGTCCACCTTTGTCTTCCCTCCGGCTGCCATCTTGTGGGAATAAGATCCAATTGCCATTCTCCAAGGTGCTATATATATATCCATCCTGTACTATTTAAAGTACAATTTCAATATAATGTTTCTTTATGAGCTAACACAAGAGCATAATGTCGTCACACTTGATTGGGTTTCACTGAGAGCTATATCCACGTCCGTTCACTTCAAAATCCAAGAATTAAGGTATTAAGAGTTGAACAACCCCCTGAAGAAACTAAATGTTTTATGTGAATAAATATTTTATTACCTGGGAAATCTTGATGTGCACAATTCCAAACTACAACGCCCCCTTTGGATCCCATATTAAGACCAATTAACGGATCGCAATCCAATATAAACTAATTTGCCAATGTGATTAATTAAACCAACGTGATTAATTAAAATACTACAAACATTTATTGTTTTCTTTATTTTCATTGTACAATACATAATAATATACATAATTTACTACTATTAAAACAGTTATACACTGCTTAAATTGTCCTTCGTTCAGAAAGAATGTATTTTATAACTTATTAGTTTTTGTAGCTCACTAGAACATTGTTGACGATTATAACACCATCCAAAATCTGGGATTCACCCTCTATGGCCTTGTATACAGTTTTAGTATCTAACACTGCTTCAGTTGCCGTTTCACCATCCCTCATAACATAAACAAGATCACCGATCTGGAAAATACAAAGTAATGATTTATAATCTATTTATATAAAAAATATCTCAATTCATTATCTGAAATGGTCACTCAAATCGCGATAACTAAATCAGTAAAGGGTGCAATATTTGAAAAGAAAGAGATTGGAATATTAACAGGAATTATTTCATTTTAAATACCTTAATATGTTGTGCCATTACTTTTTTCATTTCTCCCCTTTTGACTCTGTAGAGATAATGATGTGGGTTAAGCTGTAGTCTGGTAGATGGAAGGTCTATTTGAGTAAATGTTATAGTTTCGTATTCTTCACCATCATTGTCATCATACTGAAAAATATTTTAGTTTGTCTTGAGACCCATCCTATCCTGATGATAGAATAATATGTGCTACTACGTTTAGCCTTTTCTTATTCTTTAACCATTTTATATTTATTTTGTATTCCGTACGACTTAATTTTTCATTTTCGATGAACCTGTGCTCACTTGACAAATAAAAAACAGAAAAATCGTCGCTGTGTGATAATTATATACATGTATGTATAAGTATGAAGTAAAAACAAAAGTCTTTCTTCAACGAACAAAAAGTCAGTCGCTAAATTTACATGTTTACCGTAATACCATTTCGTGGTGCAGAAAAAAGGATAATACTCACACGGGCTCGCTCTGATCGCTGGCTATGAGACATCATGTAAGTAATTTTATATCAATAATATACAGTCTTAGCAAGTGTTGAATTATGATAAAATTCTGCGAAAACATTACTTTTATACCATAATATGGGTATTTGTATTACTCAGCATTATTACGAAAATTTTAATTTTAGATAGATCGTTCCAGACTAGTCATCATCTCCCCTATTGGATGGAATTCCAGATAAAAATTTTCAAAAAGTGACATCAGCTCTAAATTAAAGGGAATTCCACATTTTCAAATTATTGATACAGCTTATGTCTTCTACTGATAATAGTGATATGTTATATTTATAGACTGTGATATACTTTAATGATTACTAAAATATCTCACAACTTTTTTTATTTGTCTATATACTATATATCTTAATACATGAATACAAATTGAAAATATAAAATAAGTTGGAGATAAAAGAAGCGTAATAATAATGATATTAAAATCTTTAATGAAAATGATTAAAATAAAGACCTTTTCTACAAATTGGCCATGTGAAATTAGATATCATGAAAAAATAAATATCAGTACTCTTGAAATAATACTAATGATATGAGCCTAATAATATGTTAAACTTCCCCTTGAAAATTGTGAATACACGATTTCCTGACTCTTTTTTACGATTATAAGTTTCATGATTGTTTTTCTTTAAAGGTTTGTAAAGAGGTTTTCTAGTCCTTTATGTGTATCGTGGACACTTTTGACTTCTATTTGGAACATTCCAACTGCGGTTCAAGGAATTCCAGAGAGAGTTAACTGGAAATGACGCAGCTCCCTCAAGAGAATTCGTAACCAATTGACCACCAGAATAACAAAAAATATATATTATCTCCCTTTACCAGATGGCGGAAATTCTTACTAAAAAGTACCTACTCATTCTCTTTTAGCTTTTATCATTTCTGCCAGTAGACGTATGTTACATTGCCCGGTAAGCTAGTTTTGATCAGGTAAAACAGTTTCTAGACCAAGATACGAAACCTTCGTGAAGTATTAATAGTTGCTCCACACTCATTCTGCATCGTGAATTTCAATTTAATTTAGGAGAATTCCAGAACCACAATTACTATCAGTGTAGTTTTTGTTGTATACACACATTATAAGAAAATGGAATAATCCAAAATAAAATATATTTTAGGCCTTGGAATAAATTGAAAATTTTCGATACGAAAAAAGATGCCAAATTTCCACATTGGAAACTTCATGACTACGTCCGTTTTCAATAGCCAAATCTGGCACACGTAACACTCAGTAAATATGGACAAAATGAACTATATTATTAATTATAGTATTAACAAACAACTTTTTATGACAAACAGCATTTTATAATATAATAATAGAGTTTGCGATGATTTCATTCTTCCCTGTCCGTGATCTTATAGCAGCTCTGAATTATTCTTTGATTTCAACTTATCCAGATGTTATCCAAATCATGTTGTATGTCATTTTGTTTAGTATTTTTATCAGTCCATTGAGAAGTTGTTATAGATCCACAAGACATATACTGACTGTTTTCTGAATATACACAATTTTTTACATTGTCCGATGAATGCATGATATCTTCTGTTTCATCTTGACCCGAATCTGACGATTTATCTTCACGTTTAGGACGATTGCAATTTGCTTTGTTAAGTTGTGCTGACTGATATTTAACTGTTCTTATTGTCTGCGAACTGCCACTGAAATCGTTCTTATTTTGAATCATTGGGTTACACATAGCCCAAAAATCGACATCAAATTGCTGCTTTCCAGATAACACATCTTCAAGTTGACGAATATATCGAATAGTCTTTTTCAAAACATCAAGTTTACTCATTTTGTTAGTTTGCCAATCTTCTGGTAGTTTAGTCTGTAACTTTTTAAATTGTGTTTTCATGTGACTTATCCGATTTCGTTCTCTTGCATTACGACGTTCCATAGCCTTGCTAGTACATTTTTCTTTTCCTATATGTCCGTTTCCAGTCGCCATTTGAAAATAAATAGCAAGTGACCTTGTTGTATCCATGTTGATGTATTAGCTTATGTTGAAGTGAATTATGTAAGATTTTAGTTCATCTATTTATCTGACATGCATATTGACAGTTTGGCAGAAATCGTTTTCGAACGATCTTTGGCGGGAATTTTGAAAACTGTTAAAAACATGAATTGATAGTCAATGAAATTGGTAAAGTTTATAATGGCGCTTATAATTCGCCTGTATGATTATGTTGTTTATAACGGTTAAAATTTTTGTAATAAGAGAATAATAAGATAATATTATGATAATGATGGGTAAATAGATGTTAAGTAAATAATTTTTAATATTTATATTGATAGTAACTGTACCGCCTTTGATGTTAATTGACTTAAAAGTGGAGGACTAATTATCCGTTTCACTGTTTTCCCACTGTCCATTTGTGTATTGAATTTATTAATTTAATAATTACAGTGGTGTAACCTATTTTCGTGCATATAAGGATTCAACACCGAATTTCGTCGAAGTTAAAAAAACGAAATTTTTTTTTATGGCTTAGATTTTTCCTCAGATATTCTACAAAATAATTAAAATTGGTTTGTTTCGATTTTCTTTATGAATCCTTCACTTTGACCCATATTTCATGAGCAACCAACTCGACAACGGCGGCAAAATGCGTCACCTATTTTCGTGTACAATGTTTGATCTCTAAATAAGTCGAGAAAAACACGTTGTATGGATACCGGGTGGTATAATTAATTTCTCTTAGTATTTATCTTTAATATCAATTCACTATAACTAGTGACAATTTCTTCAAAGAACTATGATTTTAAAAGGAATAGTGACTGACAAAATAAGATACGTAGCGTGATTTATTGCTAAAAGTCATTGAAACAACATAAGAATAGGGCCCATTTTGTGTTCCATAGAAAATTTCTGCTGGTGACGTTTGGTAATAACTGAAATCAGCCATTTTGTATTTGTCAAAGTTTACATTAATACATTTTACCTTGCTTGAAACTATTGGATTCATTCTACTAGCTGATATTGTAGAGATAACCCATGTTTATCAAAACAAGCAAATGCGGAGGTCACGCGAGGTCGCACATGTAAATTATTAATCATTTCCGGAAATGCACGTAAATAGGTTAGCACGAAATTAGGTTATTTGACTGTATATGCTTAAAAAATTTACAATGTCGAACATTCCTCCATGTTTTTTTATTAAATTTTTTATACAGATTTGACGGAAATATCTCTACCGGAAACAATCCTGGTTCTAATTTTAATCGGATCTTGTCATATTATGACATCTTTACTGGCTATTCACAGCGTATATTTTGTACAATAATGAGTGATATAGCAAAAAAAAAAAACAAAGTTATAGGTAGAAGGGAAATTCAATTCAATGTGAGTTGTAGGTAAAAAAAGCTTCCCTGAAATTTTGGACAATATATGAGTGACATAGAAATAAAAACCAAAAGTTTAATTACCAGGGTAATATCGTTGTAGGCATATACATCATTTTTATAAACGAATTTATTAGTCTATAGGACAGGACAAACAAAATAATGACGTTTCAGGTGAAGTAAGTGGTAAATTCCATGTTACAGATTTTCTTTTACTGTTACGCGATTCGATCTGTTAGCATTAAATAAAAAGAATATTATTATATAAGGTGTTACAATAAAACGTATGTGATCAGCCAACAATATTTTGGAAATTCCAATTTAACTTTTACTTATTATTAATTATCTTATGAATTATATCTATAGTTAGTTTGAAAATACCAACAAATATAGAAAGATCCCTTGCAGAATTTTGAAAATCGTGATTAGACATCTCCTGATTCCTGATCGTATAGATATACATGACTTTATTGGAAACCTATAGGAAATACCAGTGTAAATGATGCATTCCTGGAAGTACTACAGGTTTCATGAGTTGAAATGTTAAGTCATGGTAATGTTAAAAATTTGTATATACTTATGCTTTCATATTCACGTTTTACACTTTAGTCAGGGGCAATAATCAGAAACCCGTCTTCAAATTTGAATTCATTCAAAATTTAAATCAAAATCACTCTGTTTATCACTTTCGTGAAATTCAATTTTCTATAAAACAGTTTGAACAAAAACCACTCGAAACTCGTACAATATCAAATCTTAATCATCATGCAAAGTTTGGTCATTTGTAAACTGAGGCTACTATTGCGCAGAAAAACTCAAATAACTAAATCTTCTATCTAAATGAACATGCAAAATGTGCACAGAACAATAGATGTGGGGTGAAGATATATGGTATGTACTGGATGAGGGTATTTAGAGTTGAACAACCCCCGAAGAAGCTAAAATTTTTATTTAAATAAAAATGTTATTACCAGGGAAATCTTGATGTGCACAATTCCAAACTACAACGCCCCCTTTAGATCCCATATTATGACCAATTAACGGATCACAATCCAATATAAACTAGTTTGCCAATGTGATTAATTAAACCAATGTGATTAATTAAAATACTACAAACATTTATTGTTTTCTTTATTTTCATTGTACAATACATAATAATATACATAATTTACTACTATTAAAACAGTTATACACTGCTTAAATTGTCCTTCGTTCAGAAAGAATGTATTTTATAACTTATTAGTTTTTGTAGCTCACTAGAACATTGTTGACGATTATAACACCATCCAAAATCTGGGATTCACCCTCTATGGCCTTGTATACAGTTTTAGTATCTAACACTGCTTCAGTTGCCGTTTCACCATCCCTCATAACATAAACAAGATCACCGATCTGGAAAATACAAAGTAATGATTTATAATCTATTTATATAAAAAATATCTCAATTCATTATCTGAAATGTCACTCAAATCGCGATAACTAAATCAGTAAAGGGTGCAATATTTGAAAAGAAAGAGATTGGAATATTAACAGGAATTATTTCATTTTAAATACCTTAATATGTTGTGCCATTACTTTTTTCATTTCTCCCCT